ATATATGAGATATTTTAAGTTGACTACAGATACTATGTATCTCGCAAAGAGATTTAGGACCCAGATAGCTAATTTGTTAGCTTTTAATATACAAAATACGGTTATACATGGTATAACTAACCCTATTCAACAAAATAGTGTTAGTATTTCTAGTAAAAGAAATATTAACTCTATTAACAATTTAACCAGCCCAGTTTTAAACTGAGCTTAAAGACAATAGCCAAACCTAATAAAAGCATTATTAATATTATTCATCAAAATATACAAGGTTTGGCTGGCAAAGACCTAGAATTAGAATTGTATTCGAAAAGTGAGGACATACACATTATATGTTTAACGGAACACTGGCTCAAGCTTTGTGAAATGTCTTATCACATAAACAATTTTCAGTTGTCGAGTGCTTATGTTCGAAAGACAGCCATACACGGCGGCTCATTGATTTTTGTCAACAAAAATATTAAATGTAAGGATAGAAAGGATATAGCTGGCCTTTCAATTGAACGTAGCATTGAGCTATCTTGTGTGGAACTAAATAAGATGATGATAGTATGCGTATACCGACCCCCTGTAGGTAACTTTAACATTTTTGAATCTGTAATGGAGGATGTACTGAAAAAGTTAAAGTCAAAAAATAAGTTTTTGGTTGTTTGCGGTGACTTTAATATTAATATTCTTGAACAAAATTCAATGTCAGTACGTATAATATCACTATTTAAATGTTTAAATTTGATCCATCAATTTTTTGAGCCGACTAGGGTGACATCACATTCGGCAACTTGTTTGGATAATGTATTTACAGATAGTACTCCTGATAGTAAGTCTATTTTTAATAGTATTACATCTGACCATTATGGCTTAGAAATACAATATAAAATAGATGTAAAAAATGAAACCAAAGTGATTGAATTGAGACCAGTAACAGAAAACAGGTTAGAAAAATTTCAAAAAAACATTGATGATAGGATTTCTCATATCCCATGGACACATGATGATCCTGATATTCTTTTTGGGGATCTTTTTAATCTAATAAGGAATGAATTCGATAAGGCTTTTCCCTTAAAAACTTCGAAACTTACTCAGAAGTTACAGTTCTGTGATTGGGCTACGACTGGTATCTATAAAAGTAGAAACAAACTTTATGAATTGTATCATCTGAGAAAATATAATCATTCACAAAGTTTTATTGATTACGTTAAATGTTATTCTAAAACCTTCAAAAAGGTATGTGCAACAGCCAAATCTAATTTTATTAAAAATAAAATATGTAAATCGAATAATAAAATCAAAACAACGTGGAATGTTATAAATCGTAAAACAGGCAAAGAAAGGCCACGTGACGATATTATTGAACTTAAGTCCAATAACATTCTAATAAAATCTAAGGAACATATCGCTAATATTTTTAATGATTATTTCGTTAATGTTCCTTTGGTGGCTACATCTAATTTGAGCTCTTCAACGGTGGCTGCCAAGACATTGATCGAGAAATATGTACCTAAGTGTGATAATGTGTTTCAGTTTAGACATATTAGTTTTACTGATGTTATTAAGTGTTTTAAATCTCTTAAACAAAAAAATACAAGTGATTTATGGGGTATTTCTACTAAAGTTATTAAAAGTATAATACCCGTTATTGCCTATCTAGTTGATATATTTAATAACTGTATTGATCAAGGCGTATTTCCAGATTTGATGAAATACAGTAAAGTTATACCTCTTTTTAAATCAGGAAATAGAAGTGAACCTGGAAATTATAGGCCTATATCAATTTTACCGGTTCTAAGTAAAATATTTGAGAAAATTATTCTGGAACAATTAATGCCTCATTTCAACCTAAATAAACTTTTGCATAGGAAACAATTTGGTTTTACCAGAGGTAGATCTACTACTGACGCGGGTGTTGCACTTGTAAGGAGTATATTGGAGGCTTGGGAGAGGTCGCAGAATGTTCTTGGAGGGTTCTGTGACTTATCCAAAGCTTTTGATTGCGTTGATCATCACACGCTGTTATTGAAATTAAGTCATTAAGGAGTCAAAGGTACTGCATATAAATTAATACAGTCGTATCTCAGTTCCAGAATTCAAACTGTAGAGGTAAATGGTGTTAGATCATCTGGATCTCATGTGGAAATGGGCGTTCCCCAGGGTTCAATTTTGGGTCCCTTTCTGTTTCTAGTATATATAAATGATTTGCCATTTTTTGTAGAAAATTTGTGTGAGATAGTATTATTTGCTGATGACACATCTTTATTATTTAACGTTGACAGGCGCAAGAACAACTATGACGATGTTAATAATGCTCTCTCGCAAGTTTTGCAATGGTTTAATGTTAATAATCTAAAGCTAAATGCTAATAAAACCAAGTGTATTAAATTTTCTTTACCTAATGTAAAAGTTGAACATATTGAAATTAAATTAAATAATAATAAATTAGATTTAGTAGAGTCAACTACATTCTTGGGTATAACTATAGACTCAAAACTGCAATGGAATCATCACATTACGCTTTTGGCTGGTAAACTTAGTTCAGCAGCTTATGCCATAAGAAAGATAAGACAACTTACTGATACAGAAACTGCCAGGACTGTATATTTTAGTTACTTTCATAGTATCTTATCATACGGCATTATACTCTGGGGAACAGCAGCTGATATTGAAAGTATATTCATTCTACAAAAAAGAGCTGTGAGATCTATTTATCAATTGAGTAGCCGAACATCTCTTAGAGAAAAATTTAAAGAAATTGGCATTTTGACTGTTGCTTCTCAATTCATTTACAATTGTATTGTAAATGAATCCTTGTTAAAAATAATATCAATTTGTATACCAAACACAGTAACGTGCATAATTTTAACACAAGGAATAGAAATAAGCTTGCATTGCCACCCTACAGGTTACAGAAGGTTTACCGATCTTTTATGGGTCAACGTATACATTTTTATAATAAAATTCCTGATGCCATTCTTGAGTTACCCATAAATGAGTTCAAATGTCACATTAAAAATTGTTTACTTAAGAAAGGCTATTATACTATTAAAGAATACTTGAATGACAAAACTGCATGGCTGTAACTGCAAATTGGTTTTGTATTTGTTTGCAGTGTCGTACAGATAAATTACCTTAATTCTAAGTAACTATTTTAGTTTGGTTTGAGTGATTATGGGTAGTCATGTAGCGAAACGATGGCTGGTTCATGCGTCATGCTCGTGAACGGGTGCTGCCAGCGGAGATGAGTCTGCTCTATACTACTTTATTATTATTATAATGATAATTAATTATTTAATTTAAATTTTATTTGTAATTGTATTTATACTGTATGGCACAGCAATCACAATCAAAATTTAGGTGAACATTTATTATTTCTGAGATAAAGATTTAATGGTGGTGTGGATTCTGGCATGGTTCTCTAGACCTGAACTTTGGTTTTGCAGCGGTGTATCCTTGTCATTCTCTATACAGAGTGAAGGGGGGGCACTGATGTTGGGTTTGGTTTTGGGTTTGTAGGGTAGTGGCAGAGTCGACACTAGTGTTTAGGTAATCACATACATGTGTCCTACTGTTGTGTTTATAGTTTTTTATAGTAATGTACACAGGTACTTAATTTTTTTTTCCCTATTTTGCTATCTAGTATCCATATGTGGTTATGAATAGTCATGCTCTCTTAAAAATCTCTTCGGTGGTGTCGTGTGAGGCGGGTCGTTACGTTCCCTAAAAAATGGTTCAGCGAAGCGATGGCTGGTTCATGCGTCATGCTCGTGAACGGGTGCTGCCAGCGGTGATGAGTCTGCTCTTGCTACATTGGGTACTATTAATCGTTGTATTTAACTTTAATGGTACATTTGTTTTTATGCCTAAACAGTAGGACACGGCATTCCTAAACTTTTTTCAATTTAAATCTGTTTTTTATATTTTTTATTTTATAGTCATAATTGTTTTATCATTTACATTTGTAATGGAAAGTGACTTCATGAGTTATCTCATATTGAAGTCATTTTTCAAATTGACGACTCTGTATATAATACAGGGAGAAAAAAACAGCCCTTGCTGAGTTTCTTGCCGGTTCTTCTCAGTACAAGGTCTCCCGCCGTAGATTTGCGAACCGATGGCGTAGCTTTTCGACATTCACAAGTGCTTGTAACAGCCTAGACTGAATAAACGATATTGAATTTTGAATTTTTTTGAATTTAATTGACAAAACCGATAACCGTGTTCTAATATCCAAAGCGTGTTAGATAAAAACCAATAAAGTGACAGGGAGCGCACAATTACAACGAAGTAAGACGAGACGACTATTTGCAAATGCAAGTCCTTCAACCCCCGTAAACCGTTTTGAGGTGGCTCAGTAAGTGCAAGCGCAGGATAGATCAGCAGACTTTCTCGTATATCTGGTTGTATAGTACGATATGGCATATTATTATGGTTACTAATAATATAAAAATATATAAAATGAAGGTACTAGAAATAAATTTATTTACCTACTTAAATATGCCCATGTGTCATATCTTTTGACTACCAGGATATTTTTTACGGTGTCATATCTTTTGACTCCCAGGATATATTTTTTCGGTGTCATAATAAAAAAGGCTAGTTTTTCATAGATCTATCGATTCATACTAATTACATTGTTGGCGGAGCTGGGTGCGTTTTGCCCATTGTCCTTTTGATATAATATTTGATGTCCTTAAGTCTTTTATATGAAAACATTAAAGCTAAATAATTGTATTATTAGCGACATCATCATTTTCATCAGCCTATTAATGTCCCCACTGCTGGGGATATTATATTAGCGACATCCTAGATGGAATCTAACTAACAACCTTTGCCATCGCTATAAAATGTCTTTAATTACCTTTAAAAATCAAGCAGTTATATACAAGTAGAGTAATAATGCTAATGTAATAATTCGACGTCGTGAATGATAGTATGTTTTAACTTTAACTGCTCAATTGGTTATTGAATCGTTGCCCATAGCATCCCATAAGTAGGTATTTAATTTTCACCTGTCAATAAGCCATCCGTCTTTCAAGCCCAGCATGGTACATTCAGCTTTTTCTACTGTATTAGCGGCACATGACTTAATGGGATATACGTATATTTTCTTCAGTCTACCAACTAGTCTCCACTTTGTAGGCAGATTCTTTTTTCTGTATTCTTGCGAGATTCGGTATGCCCAATAACAGGTACATACAATGCCAGCTGCAATAACAGCTAGTGTAGCGGTTTGAGCTGAAAAATGATAACATAGGTATCCAATTAGTGAAAGTGTTTCGAAAGGCCGGTTCTGTGATGCAAAACCAGCAGTGCTATTCTGTTAGAACAAACTTACTTTTGCCGCGGAATTCGTGGATTTTAGATAATTTTAAAACACACCTCGGATTCCCCAGTGAAATGTGAGTTTTTTCTTTCAGAATAGCACTGGCTGGAACGGTAACGTGTGGAAAAACTGTAATGCAACAATGAACATTAACAAAATAAGTTGATTAAGGATGGGTATGACCGGCTTTTGTTCAAGTTCATTAAAACTCCTGGATGAGTGATGGATGGATGTCAATGTCAATATTATCGCGTTGAGGTTCGTGGTTCTGTTCCTTGGAACGATAAGAACTCTGTTTTAACTCATTTCTGTAGTTCTATCACTGAGAAATTAAATCTTTAGCCCCCTTATTAATAAACAAAGAATAAGCTTGGATTAATTACTCCGTGTTTTGTCTCTGTTTATTGAATAACAAATGGCATTTGAGTGACATAAACAAAATACGGCGTAACCAGTCTAAGCATTTTTCTCGTTAATTAATAAGTGGATAGGGGATCTATTGTGATCCGAAAATGCACTAATATTTTTCCTTACCTTGACTAACCATCTTCTGTTTATGAACATTAAAGGATTTGTATTACATAAGAGTTGTTTCTTAAATAATTTTTTAACAAGACATAAGCGAACCATACGGGTCAACCGTCTTAACGCTATATTTATCAATGAATGTCATCCTATCACGGCATTGACTCGTGGTACTTTACTGATATAACAGTAAGTAGGATGTTTGGGTTTTATATTCGTTTTATCGTGAACCATTGTACATTACGTTACAATACTTATTATAGGTATAATTTAGTTTGATAGTTTTTGTCTGATCTTCTCATCTTTACCCGGTGTGAAGCAAAATTAAAAAATACTTATTGAGTCAAGGTAAGGTCAAGGACCTGAACCACTCAACTCGATGGCGCTGGTGGTTGAGGAACTAAGTGCAGGTGGTTTGAGCCCTATGGCGCAGGTGGTTAGCGTGTTCGACCTGCGATCGTGGAAGTTAAGCAACTTTCGCAATGGTCGGTCATTGGATGGGTGACCAAAAATTTATTATCTTCAGCTCCTCCGTACTTTGGAAAACACGTTAAGCCGTTGGTCCCGGCTGCATCCACAGTTGTTAGCCTTCCAGTTGTCCTCGTCGTAGGGTTAGCACCCAGACAGGGTGAAATTAGGTTAGAACTGGCGTGTGGTGGTCTACTTCTGTGAGGAGGTCATCTCATGGAAGGAGGCGACGGATAGAGTTCGCAAGGAACAAGCCCACGCGAACTCTCTTCGACGAAATAGGGGGAGGGCTGGTCGGCGGCGCCGAGCCCGTCTGCTAGTCCTCTAGCGGTACCTTCTGTGACTGCCAGGGAGGGGGTGCTCCGCGGCACCATCACGAGGGGGTAGGAACTCAGGCGTAACAAGCGGCGACTCATAACTGGACCCCGCAGTTACACCTGGAGGGTGAGGAGTAGATCGGGGAGTTGGTTTACCTGGTAGGTACGGGAGCTGGTAGGCTGGCTAGCCGCTCGGACTGCGGTCTGTGAGACTAGTCAGGTGACGCTGTGGACGTAGAAGCCCAGGATCGGCTAAAGCGGGTGCGGACTGGGCTGCTGTTCGGAAGCGTTCGGTTTGATGTATGCCACGCTTGCGTGAGTGCACGTCAAAGTATACCCGCACAGACTAGCGGCCCTCGGGCTGCTCGCTGCTTGCCGAATGCACCACGCAATCACCTGCGTCGCGAGGGTTTGTTAACAGCAAACCAACGTGGCGTTAGTCATTGTCGTGGATATAACTAATGCATTTTTTCTCCCCGTAATCGAAAAAAAAAATAAAGGTTTGATATAGCGTGCAGCCACTTTGCTGCACTCAAGACGAGTGTTTAGATCCTACACTGAGGTTTCGTTAATTAAGTGGTATTAAGTGCCCGGCAAATTGCAACGAGGTATGAGGGTACTGTCATTTAACGTTTTAACTGCAATAACTGCTTCTACACTGTGCAAGTAACTTGTGCATGTTGAGGCACTTACGCAGGTTACATATTACTACTCACGGGAGTAACCTCCTCCATTTTCGTGGCAACTTTTTCTTTTTTAATTCTTTATAGTAACAGTACAAAAAGTAAGCTAGCAACGTTGCTGCAGTTACAGTAGCAGTTGTTACATATGGACCTCAAAATTTGAATTTTCCACCAATGAAAAATCAAACAACAACAATATACGAGGTAATAATTTAACCTACAAGGATTTTTAAATCAATGTGTTATTTTAAGGATCTCGATCCAAAAGTAGTAATTACAGGTTAAACCAAATTACATTGGTGCCTAGCACAAGTCAAGCGAGCGAACAGCGAACCCAGTTTCCGCAAAACAGCAGCATTTCATGATCAGCGCGCCTAGGAGTTTCATGAATCGTGAATAGATATTAAACATCTATGACTGTAGTACAAATGCTCGTATTCATCACACAAACATCGGCCTTACTGGGATTCGAACCCGGGGAGGACCTCTCGAGTCGGCGACACCATGAAACCCGGCGTACAAACCACTCAGCCACGGAGGTCGACATTTATATAGATAGAAGTGTAGGTAATAAACTTATATAGTTCATATCAGTTATTTATATTTTTAAATACATATAAATAGAACATAAGCTTATTTAGAACGAATAATTTGACATTTAATTGAAAAAGTCAAGCCAAGCTAGGTACAAGCTTGGCTTGACTTGACCAACATTCCTTTGACCAATGACATTGCATCCACAACAATTTAAATCGATCGAGGATCTATTATAATTGCGCCCAATTTTACGAGATGCTGCCACAAAGAAACAGCCGCTTCAATTGAGTAGAAATCTACTATGGTTGATAAAAATAATAAAACGCTTCGACTCACTGATTGTCGCTATAAACAAGCACACTTGATATCTTATTTATTATACATATTCGGATTGGGCAGTAAAACAAAAATGCCTATACCTATAATATCACACCGTGTTTTTCTTTAGTGAAGGTATAAACATTCGTTGTTTCTGATACTTATCCATAAATTACTCTTATATTACGTGTAACTTCAATTATGCCTATTATGTACTCTAGACACTCTAGATACTCTAGACAAGTAGATAATACCTTTTATCTAATGTATTCTGTGTTAGACACTAGCTAGACCGACAAAAGCTAAGCTTTTCTTTCATTGACCTAATTTGATTGAAGTTTTGTCGTTACTCCTGCCATGCACTTACTATACAAACAATAATTTTATAAAGTTTAGTTTGTATAGTAAGTCCATGAATCCTGCCAATGACTCCCAAGTCCCACTCTCTTCTTGTGACGAAGTTTTTCAGCCTTGGCTATTTATAAGCGAATGCGTGATAAAGAAAGCGCTCCACTGACTAATTCCCGTGAACATTGTTAAGAAGTTAAGTGAAGTAACTTCTACCTATTTCAAGGATGACGTGACAGTAAAAAAATGAAACTTTTAATTAGGTCCGGAAAAAAATCTTTATTTTAAAAAAAAAACTTACCATAAACGACATCAAAATTAAAAAAATATGATATTGATTATTTTAAAGCATTATTTATTATCCTTATTCTTCTATGCGATGTATATCGGGTCACCCAGTGCCACCTGGTGTCCGGATTCGGACCGCAACGCCATTTGCAAACCCATCCTGGGCGAGTTGCCAACTGCTTTGCGGAGGACTGGGTCTTCGATCAATCGATAGCTATAACAAAAAATATACTCTAGATGCTGGTTATTTGACCCTGGGAGGTAAGGTAAGGTTCTTTAGTTATAAGGGTACCGGCCACAGTGCACGCAGGTTCAGAATCAGATTCAGACTCAGAAAACAAGCGCGAGAAATAAACAGGGTGGCCATAGTGGCAGCAGGCAACCTGCTTAAACTACACTGTTTTTTTCTCGCGCTTGTTTTCTGAGTCTATACGATTCAAGATAAATAAAAGAATTCGGCACTTTGTGGTAACTCCATCATCTCGGCGTACTTTTAAAGGAACAACAGGAGATTGAAATATTTTCAGGTCCTGCAGGAATTGAAACAGTTCGAAAAGAACCATTTGTGTCTATGTGATAAATTGCGAATGGAATACATTGCATCAAACTCTTATCAGATGACAAGCTTTAGTAAAAAATATTAAACCATTACCAACGTCAATCCCAAACAATACCTTCTTAGTGTCTCCAGAGGTTCAGTCTTTGCATTGCGTACTCCAGTTTCAGGATCAACAGTGGTCAGCAAGCACCTGCAAACAAATATTTTTAGAATAAAGTGTTAATTTTTTTATAAGGTTCCTTAATGCTACCACTGCGCTGGGTACCTATACCTACCTTGTGCATGGTTTGAGAATTTCAAATACATTTTCTCCGATTTTGATAAATCTCCAGTTGTCTTCTTCGTAGGGCTTGGCTGTGCCTGACAAAACGAAGTTCGGTCTAAAGTTGCACGGGGAAACCGTCAAATCTTGCAATCGTCCATTCAAGTCATCGAGAGATGCTTGGTTGATCAAATTGAATGGCACCTCGTCCGATAAAGCACTCTGGTATACACAAAAAATATAACTTTAGGCAAAGTTTTATTTCCTAATTAAAATAGCAGGAAAGATGATTTTTGCTTAACTGCATATAGAAAAGAAAGGCCGTGTCATGATCGTGAACTCTTAAAATAAAAGTATATAATAAAAAATACTAGAAAAAAAACCACGCCGACCAGGCAGCATACGGGACTCGAACCCGCATCCTCCGCTATCCGGACGGATGCACTGACCATTATACTATTGCGACCCTGATGATCGTGTCGAATTTTCTCTAATATTTCTGAGGCTGCAAGGCAGCGCCATCTTTTCGCATTGAAGGTAACCCACAATGTCAAATGAATACCTTTACAAGTATTAAACATTGGCAAAAAAGCAATTATAATTATATTATATTTTTTAATTTTCATTTATCATTCATTTTGCTAGATGTTAAATCTAAAGAAAATTTTACTAGAAAAAAACCACCAGACCCAACCGTTTCAGTCCCGTCTTCTGCCTATTTTTTTTCTAGTAGAATTTTCTTTAGATTCAAACATTAAGCAGTTAAATGCTTAAAATTAAAAAGTATAACTAAACGTAAGTAGTTACTAAATTTCTATTGTGTGTTAGAAATAAAGAGCTACTTCTAAATTATACAGATAGTTACTACATTAAATTTACTCACTGCGTCTTCTTTTCTAAATCGTTTATATAGTTCAGTGCCTAAGCCCCTCATCTCCCGGCTGGTTTGCGATGAATAGTATACCAGTTTATAAATTTTCGCCGAGTGATCCAAAACACTAAAAGGCAAACAAACAACTTATTAACTAAACGACAACGTTCTATATTCGTCGTGTATCTTTCTTATATTTTAAATGATCGGCGCAACGATGTGCGCTCAAAATGTGTCCCAATCAAGAAGTGCTTGAACCCCGATCAAGCACTTTTTGGTTCACAGTGACGCGCGGACCGTTGAAAAGTCAAGATGCCGCTGAGCTCCGTGAAAAAATAAAAAATAATAAAATACTTATGATAGTGTCGTTTTTTGGACAGGTATCTAATGAATTTTTGTTAATTTAACACATTTGAAGCTATATATTCGTCACTTTTCCCCGCGGTCCGTACCTGCTATATTGCTAACAGCCAGTGGCGGCCTTAGGGGGTGGCGAACAGGGCAATCGCCCGGGGCCTCGCTCCTACAGGGGCCTCGCGCAACAACCCAAGCAAATTTTAAAAAATATAAAAAAAAATAACTATTTTTTTTATTTAAAACTTTTGATTTTGATCCTTAATTACTTATTAAGGTTATAACATAACCGTAAATTAAAATTAAGTTAGTTAACTAATTCATTCATTCAAAACATAATTGAAAAATTCATTATGTACACTATTATTAACATAAACATTGTCTCGATTTTAAAACACTAAAAAACGTTTTAAAATCGAGACAATGTCAATCAAATGGGTGACGTCATATTAAAACGATTTTAATGTTTTAAAATAAGACACTAAAATTTACAGTGCACTGACAGATTTTTTTCGATAACCGTAAGTACAAAACATGACAAGTCCCGATTCGAAGTTTATAGTCAGTTAACAACTGACTCAGATTCGAATGAGACAAGTTGCAACTTTATAGATTTAGTAAAGTTAATAGCCCGATTTGATCCGGTGCTGAGACTTCACCTAAAAAAAGAAAGGGATAAGACGATTAATGACCACTATATCGGAAAAAGTATTCAAAATGAGCTCATACAAATAATGGCAAGTCACGTGAAGACTCAAATTGTTGAAAAAATAGTAAAAAATAAATACTACTCGATTATTCTTGATTGTACTCGCGACGTCTCTCGTGTTGAGCAACTTTCAATTATTATAAGATTTTTTAAATACAAATACAGCTGAAATTGAAGAACATTTTATTGGTTTCTTAGCCGTCGAAAAAACCACAGCTGAGAGTTTGACTAATTATATAATCACAGAATTAGAACAGTTAGGTATATCATTGCAAAATTGCAGAGGCCAAGGATATGATAATGGTGCCAATATGCGTGGTGAAAAAAGTGGTGTCCAAAAACGTATTCTTGAAATTAATCCACTTGCTTATTTTTTACCTTGTGGGAGTCATAGCTGGAATCTCATCGTAGGAGATGCAGCATCGTCTTGTGTCCAAGCAAAATCTTTTTTTGGTTTGCTACAAAGGTTGTACACTCTGTTTGCCGGCTCAAGTCAGAGGTGGGCTATTTTAAATGCTCATGTAAAATCATTGTCGCTTAAACCACTTTCTGAAACTAGATGGGAGTGCAGGGTAGCATCGGTGAAGGCCGTTAAATACCAACTAAGTGATATATGTGATGCTTTAAAGGATTTAGCAGAAAACACAACAGATTGTCAGTTGGTCAGTGAATGCCATTCTATAGAAAAGGAACTAACTACCTACGAATTTGTAGTTTCACTTGTCATATGGTATGACATTCTTACAAAGATAAATGTTATAAGTAAAATGTGGCAAAGCGAAAACATGCACTTAGATGGGGCTATACAACACCTAGACGCATTCACAAATTGGCTCGATAATTATCGAGAAAATGGTTTTCAGTCATTCCTTGTAACAGCAAGAGAAATAGCCGAGAAAAATGATATTCACAGACAGTTCAAAGAAGTTAGAAGACGACGTAAAAAAAGGCATTTTGATTATGAAGGGGAAGATGAATCTCATGAATTGAAAGCGGGAGAAATTATCAAAATAAACTATTTTTATGTCATTGTCGACAATGTACGCGCAAGCTGTTATCCTAGGTTTGAGCTCTTAAACATCATGAGAGCATATTTGGTTTCATGTATAATATAAAAAAAATAAAGGAAATTAATGATAGTGAACTTTTAAAGCAATGCAGCGACTTGCAAATATCTATGACAGTAGGAGAACCATGTGACATTGATGGACATGAATTGTACGAAGAACTGAATATGTTCATCCGTGTGTATGAAGGAAACGATGACATTATCTCGGTGCTAAAATACATAATAGAAAAAAAATTAACTGAAGTTTACCCCACTATCGAAATAGTCCTGAGAATTATTGCTACCACACCTGTTACAGTTGCGTCTGCTGAAAGGAGTTTTTCGAGGCTTAAAATTATTAAAACATATTTGAGGAATTCAATGACACAAGATCGGCTTTCAGCGCTCGCTATTCTTTCAATCGAAAATGACGTAGCTTATTCGTTAGATTATTGTGCTTTAATTACAGATTTTAGTCTGAGGAAAAGCCGCAAACATTAATTTTAAAATGTATCATCTCTGTATTTGTTAATTTTGTGAATCTTTCAATGTAAAATGTTTTAAAATTCAAATTTGATTTATTTGTATAATTTAAGCATTTTTCCTTAAACATGACAAATACCTAAACCAAACAACCAGACCTACTTTCGCATCACATCGCAAAGACCTGCCGCCCGGAGCCTCGCAATGGGTAAGGCCGCCTCTGCTAACAGCAAATATAGAATTGCGCATAAAGACAAAGAAATAGGGACTATATTCTTTCGCATAAACCAATAAGTCGTAAAATTTTACGAACTGTCATAACTCTTTGACGCGTGCCTTTTAATAAAGACCTTATGTAGTATGCATTAAATTAAAGTTGATTTTCAATGTTTAAATAATGCCTTATCTTGTTTTTGACAACGCGAACATCTTACAGAGCTCCGTGGATCGTCCAATGTACCTTTTGGCCAGGTTTCGGCAACGATATTAAATACCCTAGATACACCACGTGCGCTCAAATGTCCCAAGTAAGAAGTGTTTGAACACCACTCAAGCCCTTCTTGGTTCACAGACACGCGCGGACCGTTTAAAAGTCAAGATGCCGCAGAGCTCCGTGGAAAAATACGAAAACAATAGTACGTGAAGTGTCGTTTTTTCGACAGGTATTTAACAATGTTTGTTAATTTAACGCATGTGAAGCATTTTTTTTCTAATACTTTCTATAAACTGATTAATTTGTGATATTCAAATGCATGGTCGGTAATATAGCCGTCTTTTTTCCTCGCGGTCCGTAACTGCTATTTTACTAACAGCGCATTCAGAATTGCGCGTAGATTCAATGATATAGGGTCTATATTCTTCCGCATATAGCAATAAGTCGTAAAATTTTACGAGCTTGCATTTCGAGCTGTCGTATCCCCTTGTCGCGTGAGTTTTAACTAAGACCGTAGACAAAATGCATTAAAGGTGACTTTCATTGTTTAAATAATGCCTTATATTGTTTTTGACTACGCGATCATCTTACGGAGCTCCGTGGACCGTTCAATGTACCTTTTGGACAGGATTCGGCCACGATTTTGTTCGTGTTGGTGTATCAAGGGTATTAAATATCGTTGGGTTTCGGCCACGATTTTGTTCGTATTGTTGTATCTAGGGTATTTAATATCGTGGGGTCGGCGACATTATTGTGAACTTTGAAAAATAAAAACCGACTTTGAACAAGGAAAGCCACTAAAGTTATGAATACCTAATTATTTCCCATAAATGTTAGGTTACTTGTTACCTGGTCAACCACTTGCTGGCTTCCGAGCCACAGTCGAAAACAGGAACTTCAACGCCCCAGACCCTAGCAGTCTGAGGTTTTTGTAGCGCAATTACCTGGAGGAAAACAGTAATAACTATAGGACTTGGGTGAACATTTATATCCACAATGGACAGAAATGGAACTCGCGCAGTTTATAGCATAGAGTAATTTGAATTTAAGGTTTATATATAGTACTACAATCCGCCCGCGACTTAGTGCCTATCTGTAGTTTAACGCTACTTTCTCAATTATATTTTAAGTAAGAATTTTGTGATGAAAAGTATTAACAAACCCAAAAAAAGATGAAGAAATCGGTAAACTCGTTCTCAAAGTTACGGCGGCGTAACCAAGAGACATAAAAGGGATTCACTTCTGTTTATAAAGATTAATGCCACAAAGGAAAATGCTATGCTCCGAGTTAACAGAAAAGTAATAAATACGTCCAATTAACTTTTCATGTATCCCATACCTCTATCATTTTTATTTGGTTTGATGTTTTGATGTTTACTCTGTTCGCTGTCTGCCGTTTTATTGGCTCTACAAGTTCTCTCCGGTTGACTGGTTAGTGCAGTCATTGAAGCATTATTGCTCCGAATTTTTTTACTGTGAACCGAATTGCATACAATTTTGGAATAAGGTTCATCTTACCCTTAACTTCAAAAGTGAAAATGATTTGAAGTCCGCACCCTGGGGGTGGTTGCCACCCCTTCTAGGGGGTGAATTTTTTTTTTTCAAAATAACCTCGGGTATTGATAGAAAGCCTAATTTTAAGCAAAAAATTATCTATAAAGTTTTTCAAAAAATCCAATACTTTTCAAGTTATTGGCAATTGAAAATTCGATTTTTTTTTCCCGTTTTTCATCGGTTTTTTGCAAATATTTCCAAAAATAAAAGATTTATCGAAAATTTTACAAAAATTAAAATTGTAGCAAGTAAAACAATGAACAATTTGGTTTTTTATAAAGTATTGTAAGTGCAATATTAAGCTAGATATTAAAGATCAAAGCCGTTTTTTATTTTGTCTGAAATTTAATCGATGTGGTCAATGCCATCTAGCGGCGAGCAGATGCATTTTATGCATTCTAATACAAAAGGGTTTTGTAGTGCTTGAAATAAGCTTTAAAATGAGCACTATTAAAAGTCTTTTGCACGTAAACTAAGTGAGCTGTATTGCAAATAAGGGGAGCATCTAATGTTTTTTCTTTTAAATCAATGGGTTTCATAAGTGCCATTTCCACCAAAATTAAAATTAATCGTATTCCGCATAGAATTAACTTTATTATAAAGAGTTTGATAGATAGTATCAGTTTGGCTGCTTCAGGACACATATTTTTCAAAAAAGTCACGATTAAAAGAAAAACCAAAATTTCAAATTTTTAACAAAACCACTTTTTTTCGTAATATCTCACACGACGACAGATACGTATAAAAGTGTATGATTTAAAAACTTAGGTATTTTTCTGACAAACAATTTGGTTTTTTTGTTTTTTCTGTCAAAATAAAATTGACGGAGATATGATTTTTTAAAGAGCGCGTGGCAGCGCTATCACAGCCTCACTTAAGCCCTTTAACCCTTCACCGTTTTAGAAAAAGGTTTTTTAATATATATTGCAATGAAGGATGTTGTAGCTCTCTTAATTACCTTTACAATGGTCTTACATAAATTGTGATAGCATGAAAATTGAAGGAGTTATGGTCCAAAAACTTATCATATTTTTTTCTGCTTAGTAACTGAAAATTTCGGAGTGTGAATATTTGGAGCAATGTGAAAGTACGCAGTATAATAGAGACCCACAACTATTGTAATGTGTATATATATACATAATATGGCTCATATATTTTGGAAAGGTAGGCATGAATATATACCAACGTTCTTATCTTTATATATATAATTCTTCTGTGAGTGTGTATGTCACTGAACTTCTCTTAAACGACTGGACCGATTTTGATGAAATTTTTTGTGTGTGTTCAAGGGGATCTGAGAATGGTTTAGATTCACAATTTTGTCCGCTGGACAACCCCTATTTTTTAGGGCGGTACGAAGTTCGCTGGGTCAGCTAGTATGTATATATAACACATTTCATCATTTCATCATCATCATCATCACATCATTCATCCAACGGATTGGGGGTGGGTCATGAATGACGGTTTATTAAATCCACTTAAGTCTGTAGATCCACCCGCACCACAAGGACTGCTGAAAATGATTTTTTGCAACTGCAAAAAAGGATGTGGAGCGTCTTGCGGATGCAGAAAAGTTGGTCTGTTTTGTAATAGTACCTGTGGAACGTGCAGTGGAGATAACTGCCAAAATAGCCCTCCAATTCAGCCAGAAGATGTTGAATGTGACAGCGACTCCGACATTGAGTCATGAATAATTATATTATATTTTAATAATAATAGTACAATTTTATATAATTAGTAAATATTTTATTCAATAAATGCCAATTTTTTACTCTAAATTAAATAATTTTTAAATATGTAATATATATATATATGGATTGAAAATGATTTTAATATGATGTAATTATGTTAGAAAATACTTTACAATTTCATCACTTACTATTAGACATGTTTTCTAGCGATAAAATGGCTCAATGTCAGTTTTTCCATTAAGGGGTTGTTTACACCCCTTAAAAATAATAGGCAGAGTTCAGATCATTTTCACTTTTGAAGTTAAGGGTAAGATGAGCCTAATTCCAAAATTTCATGCAAATTGGTTCACAGTAAAAAAATTCGGAGGTAAGACCGTATTTTTCGCTTCAATGACTGCACTAGGTGGAGAATGCCACAGGTACTGGCATTAAGTCCGTTATTTGCAATTCGAAGGTAATAAAGATTAAATCAAATGAATAAATGATCACCCACCTCCGCTAAATTTATATGTAGGGGTTCTGCCGCATCTGGGTGGTTAAGCGTGAGGATGGAGTTCCTCACAGTGGGTCGCACCAGAACCATTTCCGGGCATGCCCTCGCAGTTAAAAAGTTGTTTTTCTCATCCACTACCATCAGAACTCTGCGTAACACAGACAATAACATATAAAATCGAACCTCTAAGTAATTAAATCACAGCGTATCTACTTAAGTGAAGTATCTTTCTCCGAACTATTAATTACTCAATACCTTATACGAAATGATAGAATCAAATGACGCAGACCGACTAGGTACGGGTAAAGGGTACCAATGAATGAATCCTTAAGGCATTTTTGAACTTTAAAAATTATTAAAATCACCTACTTCAAGTTGACTGGGCCATATAAATGCTACTCTTTTATATTACAAATATATTCAAGTATAAAATAGCATGGACAATATGCCAATTATGCACAAATTTATCAAATAATAGAGATTTAAAAATTACCTACTTCAAGTTGACTGGGCCATATAAATGCTACTCTTTTATATTACAAATATATTCAAGTATAATATAGCATGGACAATATGCCAATTATGCATAAATTTATCAAATAATAGAGATTTAATGCAAAATGACCCAACATCACCAGTGAATGAACACCACAATCTAGTGTATGTACACTTCGTACTTCAGTGAGTAAACGTCCAGTGTTGCATACAAATTTAGCTAGAAATCACAATTTTCTGATAATTTATTTTATATAGGTAATTTAAGAAATATGATATTAAATTAATAATATGGTTTTAGATTAAAAACATGACCATATGGGAAACTTTATCTCTCAAGTATTTTTTTTTACTACAATTCAACCCTATCTGATGATAGGACAAAGTTTCTCCGTTACCTATCCCTCAACCAGCCATTCTTTAATCCCAAGCTGGTGCATTCGCCTCGTTCTAGCTTCACAGATGCACATGACTTTATAGGGTACGCATAGAGTTCCTTGAGTGTGCCCACATGCCGCCAGTCTTCCGGCCGCGGCAACTTGGTGTTATTCGTCTCTCTATAAGCCCGATAGGCGAAATAAGCGGCACCTGCGGCACCTGCGGCACCAGCGGCTACCACTCCCGCTGTCACGTATTGCGCTGGAACAAAATTATTTAAAAATGTTGTTTATAAAAACCGGTTACTTACGTGCGACTTGAACTCGCGCATCAAGCGAGCGTTCAGTACAAATTGATAGGTATTTTACTCTCGAGAATGAAGTTATTCAGTGGTTAGATTATCAACTGCAAAGAATCATAAAAAAAATGTTGTTAATTTAACAGTTTTTTTGGGGCTTAGGTTTTTGTACAACTATGTCCAGAAGAGTAGTTAAAAGAAGAGTCAATACTAAATAAAAATAAAATATTAATATGATTAGTTGATTACGTATGCCCTCTGTCGTCAAGGTGAAAAGCGCAAAGAAGATGTAATATGCAACGGAGTCATGACTCATATAAACATCGATCAAAATAGTAAATGATTACTTAAGTAACTGTATTACAGAGAAAGGTAGCACGAACTTACTTTGCCCATCACATTATAAATAACTACAATAAAAGCAGTTAACGACTCGCACTTGGGGGTGGAGGGTGAACGTAGGTGTCTTGACGGTGGTTGTGGACTGTAGCTTGCAAACGAAATAAAACTCCCAAGATCCGGTATCGAAGAAAGTCGGTGGGCGCTGGTAATGGAAATGGATGGCCGGCGACAGAGGCGGCGTAAGGCGTGGTCGATGTGGGCCGCCTACGGGCCAAGGGGCCTCGCGCCTGAAAAATTTTTATGCATTGCTTAAAAGCGAATTTCTTTTTTTTTATTATTTTATGAAATCCGTCTTCAGGACGCCACAGAACAGGGCCTCGCGAAATCTGTCTTGCCCACATCAAATTTAGGTTTTGCCCCGCCACTGGCCGGCGAGGAGTCTTCAGGTTCCAGAGCGAACCGCTTGTTTCTTCTTATTCCTTTTGGTAGGAGCGCCGGTTGCTAAATGTTGTGCCGGGTTCGATTACGGCCCGGCTTTTTATGCGCGCGATGAGCTGGCCAGCGATCCATTGCCTCAACCCCGTTATAGGTACTTTATTTTCCATTTATTCATTGCAAACAATATTGTACCGCCCGCGACAATGTACGGATTGCCAGATTATGAAGAACGCTGACACCGCCGTATTACAATTCACACAGTACATGTTGTAATATGACCAAATGACGACACTGCATAAACGTGGGAATCACACGTACACCACCAAGCCCCCCCCCCGCGCCTCTTCGATGCCTCATGCTGCCCGTGGCCTCATCACTTCGTTTCACACTTCGATCGGGTCAACTAGTTTAAGAATTGGAATTGTAATTTTTATAATAAATTAGTATTAGAAATCATTTTGCTTCTTTTTTAACTCTTACGGCTGCTGCATATTTCTTGCGTGTCGTGCGATCCGCGCGTAACACGCTCCGTACAAACAGATTTATCCTATTTTTCAGCCTATTTTGATATTTATTGTTTTGGAACCTCAAATTTACGTAGATAAATTTCTTATTGACCCATTCTAATAAGATTCTAACAAGATTATTCTTATTCAATGCTTTTATAGCCTCTGAAAGTCTTTGTGGCTAAAAACCTACTTAAACCTATTTAAGACCTAATTTATGTATTTAATCCTATAGGGGAAGTGAAAACACATAAGAAAAACCCTTTATTAAGAAACTTGCATCTATAAATAATTTATTATCGAAAGGAATCTATTTTTAACTTTACGCCTTAATTACACCTATAATCCTAATCTAAATAAAAGTTGAGTATTCCTATAACTATAATAACGATCAAAACATATTAACTACAATTTCGCTATTTCTAACTTTACGCCTTAATTATACCTAGGTATAATCCTAATCTAATCTATATAAAAGTTTAATATTCCCATAACTATAATAACGATCAAAACATATTAACTATACAATTTCGAAAGTAAACAAATCTTAAAAACTATAATCTATCGGAACTATTAACTTACATATTGCGACTAGCGGTCTATTGCTCGTTGCCATGGCAACCATCTATCGAAATTTCTTACTTTAAATTCTCTATTACAGCAAAACTATGAATTATTCTAACAAAATAACATAGGAATTTTATATAAATGACTTATAACTAAACGTACAATGTGAAATAACACTTGTAAGATACACTTTTGCGATTGTTCGTGATTCAACTGTTTTGACGTCTCATTGCACACGTAATGTTCATAACTTGTTATTTTTGGTGGTCTCGTACACTATTCTAAGTCCTTTCTCGGGACTCAAATAACTGTATACCAAATTTCATATCAATCGGTTCAGCGATTTAGGCGTGAAAAGGTAAGAGAGTCAGACAAACAGACACAAATTCGTATTTATAATATAGAGTAAAAATGGATGGTGTACATATACATACCATGTCATAATTAAATCTCTGTACTTATATGTTTTTCGTTCTTGTTGAATAAATCAAAAGGAAAATTTGTTGAACAAAGTTCTCGTAAGGGAAGAAACGGTTTTCAGGGGTGAGGGGAGAAATGGGTCAGCCAGCTACTCAGGAACCGTTAACGAACGCGCTGTATTCAACGATATTAAATACCCTAGACACACCACGTCCGCTCAAAATGTGTCCCAATCAAGTAGTGCTTGAACACCACTCAAGCACTTTTTGGTTCACAGTCACGCGCGGACCGAGGAATAGTGAAGATGCCGCAGAGCTCCGTGAAAAAATGTGAAAAAATTGTTTTAGTACGTAAAGTGTCGTTTTCCGGCAGGAATCTAATCAATGTTTATTAATGTAACGCATTTGAAGCTAATTTTGTTCGAATACTTACTATTAACTGATTTAATAGAAAATGTTTGCGATATTTCAATGCATGGTCGGTTATATATGTAGCCGTGTCATTTCCTCGCGCACCGTACCTGCTATATGGCTAAACTAACAGCGCATTCAGAATTGCACGTAGAATCAAAGAAATAAGGTCTTTATTCTTCATAACTCTTTGACGCATGCGTTTTAATTAGTACCTTATACAGTATGCATTAAAGATGACTTACAATGTTTAAATAATGCCTTAAATGTGTATTTGATTTTGACTACGCGATCATTTCACGGAGCTCCGTGGATCGTCCAATGTACTTTTTGGACAGGTTTCGGCCACGATTATGTTCGTGTTGTTGTATCTAGGGTGTTTAATATCGTTGACTGTATTATACATTTCGAGAGTTACGCATAGAAGGATGAGAACAAAACTTTCCAGGGCTGTGTATTGTTTTAAACTTTCATGGTTACTGACATTATAATAATTTATGTTATTTATGGGATTCTTTTTATACATGGTAACAATCCCGTAAATAACATAAATTTCCAGGGCTGGTTAGGAAGCGAACGCAGATTGATCTCTCCACGGAACTGGAGAGCACACGCTTCCACAATTTGTGAAGTGGACTTCTATTAAGTAAGGCAGCATCCGCAAGCTCACTGTAGGATCGGTGGGTTTGCATTGCACGCTTCCTGTGGTAGGTGGTGCCACTTTACTCCGCGGAACCGCACATTTTCGGGGATTTCGACAACGGACTATCACCTTGCGAGTGCGTGCCCAGTTCTGACGAAGTGTAACGATCACACACCCCCGATTCCGGGAATTGCAGTTCTCAGAGTGCTTCTCGGATGATAGAATGGATGCCAGTGGTTTTGCCACTGAGCTGGGTGTAATGAGTGACGAGGAATCTCGATATAATATTACATATCCTCGTTGCATCTCCCCGTGGCGATAAAAGCGTCACGCCTTTCCCCAGACATAAAAAAAGATCCAGGGGCCTTCTACCTAAGTATATGAACTTATGGCATTTGAAATCCAATCCCATTGTTTAAAAATAATAATAAATAATGGTTTTGCAGTTAATAATATCATGTTAACTTCAACTTCTGCGAACTGAATGCTCAGTTCTTGTTGGTCGAAGCTTAAACTAAACGTTCCATTTCACTGCTCGATTTTATCTAGGTATTTGGCGCCAATAGCTACTTGGAGCCTTGAGCCACCGGTCTACCCTAGGTGCTGCGTCCACTCAATTATTTCATGCATTACCACCGTCACACCAAACATTAACACCAGTGTTAAGGTTTGGATTTTATTACCGACGATCACACCGTCACACTGTCAAAGTTCGGTGTGAAGGTGAGTAACCCTATATTAGATTTCCATTCCAGTGTTACCATTGGGAATACATATGTCGTGGCCATATCGTAGATTTGATCACTTCATGAAATGCTCGAAAATTTCATGAAATGTTTCACTATCTATTGGCCACATCAGGATGTGGTTTGGGCAGATCAATGATGAGAAATCGTTTCACGATATGGCCAACTAAACGCGTGGCTACTTCATGAAATGGCAAAAATTATTTGATCGTATTGTAAAGTAGTTACATTAATTACCGGTAGAGGCGCTGCAAGCGCTTTGTTTATATATTTATATGGCGGCCACTGCCGACGTGCATAATTCGTTATTTAATGAGGAAGAAAGTTAACAAAAGGGTTTTCGACGAAACAAATTAAGGAGAGTAGGGTGACTACGCAAAAGAAATCTATGGACTATTACTGGCTGTCAAAATATGACATTTTGGAAACTGCGGTTGAGGTACAAAGTGCGGATGAGAATCAATGCCGTACAAAGATATATATACCGTAAAACTGTACTTCCAGGGCCCAAGAGGTCATACTTGATTTTTTTTTTGTAGAAAAGGTCTCTTTAATAGAGTTTTTTTTCTGGAGCTTCGCCGGCCGCTGCCGCGGCACGCTCGCTTTGCTCGCTCGGCTCGCGCGTCATGGTCACAACACTAACCTAACCTAACCTAGTGTGAATTATTACCGTTTGGGCCCTGGAAGAACAGTTAAGTCTACTATTGTAATATGTACCAAAGTACCTTATTATTTCTAAATATTTGATAGTTTTCTAAATATAAATGTGTAAGTTCTGACATGTTTGATGTTTAATTTAGGAAAAGAAAATCTTTAATTTGATTATTTTGTTACAAAAATTTGATTTAATTTGTTTGTGTCATTCGGACTTACATAACAATAAACAAGTTCTTACATATTCTGGATTTTTAATAAATATTTTATGGACACCCTAATTATACGATCCGGCCAAATGTAGATGACCAAATCGTTAAATGTTGACGATTTAATGATCTGGTCAAATTAAGTTGACCAAATCATGAAATGTGACCATTTCATGAAATTCTCGAGCATTTCATGAAGTGATCAAATCTACGATATGGCCACGACACATACATACGAACTGAACAGTGCAAGTTAAATAAAAGCTTGTAAAAAGACAAGTGTCTTTATCGTTTTGAATGAAATCGATGTCCTACCATGGCAAAATTAGGAGTTAAACGAGTAAATGACTGACGTGACCTATATACCTGTGAAAAATAAAAATTGTGGAGAGGAAAATAAACGGCTTTTATTGTTATAATTATTATGAACTCCAAAGGAAATTCTTTTTTTATGTATTCTCGACTCACACTGGTGTAACAGGGTCCCATCCGTACTAGTCGTGAAAAGTTTCCATCGTAACACTAGTGTTAATGTTAAGCGTGATGGATGGTCGGAAATGCATGAATTATTTGGCTGACTATGCCAAAATGACGGTCCTCCGAAGGTTTGAACTATCGGTTTAGGTTCACCTTCAAAAAAAAATGGTTGCCTGTAAAGTCGGTTTTACGGGCGAAGATTTTACGTGACAACGTCTTTTTCTCGGTAGAATATTTATTGATATAGATTAAAAAATAACACTTTTGACGTGACAACGTCTTAAATTAGGTTGCGGCTGGGAGTCACTTATGAAAAAGTGTAACGCTCGGTAACGTTACGATGAGTCTCTCGTGTTAAGTTTAAGTTTACATGTACAATGTTTTAGTAAACAAAATATATTTCTATAGTTAAAATTTGTGCAATTCTTATTTTCATTCAATTCCTTGTTCCTATTGTGCAATTTAATTATATTCATATCAATAAATATTCTACCGAGAAAAAGACGTTGTCACGTAAAATCTTCGCCCGTAAAACCGACTTTACAGGCAACCATTTTTTTTTAATCATTATATTTTCGTTTATTTAATCTAGGCGGCGCGGCGCGGCGGCGATAGCGATAAGACATATCTAAAGTGTAAGTGTACACTACAAACGACTATTTTACAAAGATATGCACTGTAAAAATATGATGAGTTGCATAACTTCTTTTATATGTACACATTATAATATCAGAGAAGCTGTAAGGACCAAGTGGCAACTATTCTGTGACATCGGACAAAAAAGAATCATGTTGTAATTCGGATCAGAGATCTTGGGCGTAATAATAATAACAATAAATATTCTTTATTGCACACAACAAAAGATACAAGACATAAACAAATAAAACAGAAGAAATTAAAGAAAGAAAGGGCGTAATTGGTGTTCATACAAAATAAATAACATACCGACCGAATTGAAAAAAACCTTTCTTTTAGGAGTGTTTTAAAAACATTTCTACTTTTTTTACTATCCTACTTCCTACTAATATTATAAACTGGCAGCCACCTGCGACTTCGCCCACAATTAACTTTAGTTTTTTTAGAATCCCTCAAGAACCTAACATGTTTTGGAATAAAAATTATCCTTTGTCTCAATCCAGGTAATAAACTACATGTGTGCAAAATTTTATCTAAATTCGTTCAGCCGTTTTGCGATTTAATCAAGACCCACAGTAAAACCACTTTAGTAAAATTTACTACCCCTTTTCACCCCGTTAGAGGCAGAGTTATAATGAACCTTGATACACATTATTCTTTCTTTCATGTCTCTAGTATAAATACTGAGTTTAGAGTTGTTGAGTTGAAGAGTGAATCGAAATGCTCATCAAAATTCATCCATATAAAAACTTCGGCACCCTCCATGCCTCATATGAGATAAGTATTCGTACCAAGTTTTAAAAGCGTCACTTGCAGCGATTTTGCTTAATCTCGATTCTACTAAAAGTAGCTTAAACGACCCTTTCACCTTTTCTATGGGTTAAACCTAGTTTTAGTAGAATCGAAATGTAGCAAATTTGCTGCAAGTCAATTAACTCAAAAAATAAGAATTTTCATGGTCATGGTCATAGTCGCAATCTCCCTGTTCCATACCTATGGGTGCGGCCAGAGTGCACTCAGATTCAGATTCAGATTCAGATTGTTTTCAGAATCTGAATCTGACTCTGAATCTGAGTGCACTCTGGCCGCACCCTTCGACTACACTGTTTATTTCTCGCGCTTGTTTTCAGAATCTGAATCTGAGTGCACTCTGGCCGCACCCTAAGGAAGGCCTGTGCCCCAACAGTGAGGGGCATTAATATGCTAATGATATTGATGTTGATGAAAGACTTACCTTGATTAGACATTTGCCAAATTTAATAAAGTTAAGTAGTTTCTTCTGCGATGATTTCTTGGATATAAATAAAAACAACGCAATAGCACTTATTAATGTAAAAACAATATGACTGAGCTCGCGATCGGCCCGGCCGGCACTATGTTTGTGTTCTGTGCACGATCTGTGGGATGTGGGTAGGGTTGCAACGATATATCGGAATATCGATAATATCGAGACCAAAATATCGATATTTATATCGATATTTAAAATTCACTGATATCGATAATATCGATATCGGAAATTCCAAAATATCGATATTTCGTAGACTAAATTTGTACACAATAATATCAATTAATTTACCTTCTATGACTATCTAAATTGAATAATATCGAAATAACTATTGCTTTGAAATCGGAAAAGCTTATAGATGTATTAAAAAAATCTTGAACCCAAAGAAATATACTAAACTTGTGTGGATTCTGGCATGATTCTCTAAACCTAAAATTAATTTTGACAACAGTGGTGTCGATTCTGGCACGATTCTCTAAATCTAAACTTAAACTTGACAACAGTGGTGCCAATTCTGGCGTGATTCTCTAAACTTAAAACTAAATTTAACATCAATCTCTCCTTTTCATTCCTTATAGTGAATGACAAGGATACACTGTTGTCAAATTTAAGTTTAGGTTTAGAGAATCGTGTCAGAATTGACACCAGTGTTCCTTGTCATTCTCTATACAGAATGAAAAAGAGAGACTGATGTTAAATTTAGTTTTAAGTTTAGAGAATCACGCCAGAATCGACACCAGTGTATCCTTGTCATTCTCTATACAGAATGAAAAGGAGAGACTTATGTTAAATTCAGTTTTAAGTTTAGATAATCATGCCAGAATCGACACCAACGTATATAGGTATAATCGTATACCTAATGGTAACTCATGCACTTAGATAAAATCCTTGCCTCTCTTTCTAAATAATTGTCAACTACTGATTAATTGAAATTTAATATCATTGTAATATAACACAAAATAAAATTAAGAATCTTATACAAATCGTAAATTTTTCAAACTCACCAAGTCAAGAGAGTAAGATAGGTATAGTAATTTTGGAAGCTTTGGGCTTACCCTATTCTGAAGCCATGGGCACGCCCCTGATGTGTAGATTTTACTAATACATAACAATTGTTTTTCATATGATTATCTATTCTGATTTTGGCTGCGTGCAAACATTTTAAACAAAATAAATATTTTGATTCGAAATTGCTTTTGATTTGATACTTCATACAGCGCTATAAAAATATAGAAAATATCGTGTTGGAAATGTTGGAATGGCTGATATATCGGATCGGATATCGATATTTACCTGCCCACATTATAAATATCGATATTTCGGAAACCTTTGCTTCCTTAATTATAGGTTTTTGCTTTGCAAACTTAATACAAAGCAAAAAAAAAAGAAAAAATATCGATATATCGATAATATCGAGATAAAATTGTCGATATATCAGATATCGATATTTTCCTGACTTCGATTATATATCGATATAAATATCGATATTTCAAAAGACTGCATCCCTAGATGTGGGCTTAAAGCATGCTCTGAAGCTGTGGGGCGCCGGCGGCTTACCCACAGATTAGGTAGGTGTCTACCTAAGTAAGATTTTAAGCGCTTTATTTTGCGTAAATTACGATTCATAATCGATAAAGTTTAACATTTTCTGGTAACTTGAAGGGTGCCTGATTGTTCGTTCGTATCATTTATTTCAGTATTATATAAGTTATTGTTAGTTACTGTCCCAATAACCCGGTTACACCTTGCTTTCAAGCTTGCACAATAAGAACTGTGCAATGAAAAATGTACAAAAACTGATCAAGTGCAAGTCGCGGGCCACCCGCTATTTATGGTCCCGAAGTTGCAGATCACAAAGGGCAATTGCAAATTTATAAGCATTCTACACTTCAATTCTTCTTCTTTCTGCTATTCTGTTCCGGCGGCATAATAGGGAAGATGCATATATAATATTTATGAAAATTTTATGATTAAAATGTTAAAAAAATATAAAAGAAATGCTACTGCAACGTTTTTATTTTACATAATGTTGTTTTTTAACAATTATTACGAATTAAAAATACTTGAAACGGAACGTATTTTAAAACACCTATCAGCGTTTAGTGACGTCACTCCTGTTATGACAACTTCTTTGAGGTTATGGTTGTTAAAGTAAATATTATTTTATGGGAATATTAATTGCGTTTTTTTACATTTAATAAAAATGGAAGTTGCGTTTATCAAAGCAGACTCCAGGAATTTACCAAGAGTTAGTGTTGACATGGTTATAACTTTTTTTGTCCAAAGTGCAGAGTTTTTAAGTGTAAAAATGAAAGGGACTAAATTACTACGGTATGTAAAAATCGTAGTTGTTAAACTTCGTATTTTATTCAGCGGCTCCTACAAATCTTACGGCGATAATGCAATCGGCTGTGTCCAAATTAAAAGAGATGGAGAATTATGTACAGTAAAAGGTCGAGTTCTCCGGAGCATAAAGTACGTGAAGAAGGTTATCGTGTTACAGTTATTTTAAATGAAACGCAAAGCTTGGTTCAGTCCTGCCAATGTGAAGATTGTGCCACACATTTTAAAGTTTATCTAATTTTCGACGTCATTCTCCAACTGTAAAATTAAAAATATGTTATAGACTGGTTTTGTAAGTATTAGGTAGGTTACTAATGCGTTTCACGTACAAGCAGATTAATTAAGCATATAACAAGTATATTCGCCGACTTACGTCAAAGTGATCTTCACAGCATCGAATAATGGTCTTTGGAGAATAATTGTCATTTCTCTTTGCAGCTTGAAACCACTTTTTTTTCAGTTTTGGGTCAGAAGTTCCAGTCAAAAACAATTTATTTGGAAACTTTGTTGAAGTAGATTGGTACAAAACATGAGTCAACACGGCTTTTTTTCGGAATATTAGTGGTATTGTTATGGTCACATGATGTTGATGGATAGTCCATTTTAAATTTTTCAAAAAAATATTTCGAAAGTCGAAAAAATATGCAAAAGTATGAAAATTTAAAGCCAGCGACGAACAAGTACGACCAGTGACACAGGAGTAACGTCATCGCAACCATAGGTTCGTTTTCGCGCGAAAATTTAAATTGTCAATTTAAAACCGCATTTTTTCCGATAAATCACAATGTTTTAATTTTTTAATATATCTGTGGTTTATTCTACATGGAATTCTTTAAAATGAAAACAAAAATAAAAATATTGCATCTTCCCTATTAAGAACATTGCAAGCCTGAACCACCTTTGGAAGCGGCACGAGGGCCGATGTACCTGCGGCCTGTACCGTTCAGCGGTTGGTGATTGTCGACTGGCTGTGCATTTTTGATACACCAGCATTATTATAAATACAGTCAATCGACTTCTTTAATAACGTTATAAAAGTCGATGTAGCGGCAAGAAACTGGGCGAGCGAACACGAAGTGCTGGTAACATCCACTTGAATAGCATCTGGATTCTGGACGATTGTGCCTATGAGCACCAGGCCCCTTAACCACGGTAATATTATAATATTATATTATAATATTACCGTGGTTATATTAGTAATATTATAATATTACCGTGCCTTACCGTTGTAACGTTTGCGTTACTAATAACGGATTGAAGTTACCTACTACTTACTCCACTTGTAACGCAAACTGAGTAGCCCAAGATCGATCTGAGTGGCGTGCATTTGGAGAGGCCTATGTCCAGCAGTGGACTAAGGTAGGCTGTTACTGTTGATGATGATGATGAACGCAAACTGAACATTATTATTTATTTAGGAAATACTGTTATCAACATCCTTACTAACATCCTTAATGTTTTTGATTTTATTTTCGTCGATGGTGATGAATGGACCATAAATTCTAGTTTTTTGTCAAACGATTTACAATAAAATTACGACTCCAAATTTATTGACACGCACGTAGATTGTTTGACAAGAAACAAGAATTTATATTTTCGCTTTTTTTTTCAAATAATAATTATCATTTTTAATTAACTACATATTTATTTTATGGTCAAGACTACAGTCTTGTACCATTCCCGCTTTTCTATCTTCTGCATCTGGTACAGCCGAGCTCTTTAGTAAAATACTATACCCGTCTTTGGGTGGAGTGGAGTTGGCTCACCTTGCAGAGGCCAGAAGCGCTTGGTCTAGGGCATGCCCGAGAGTGGATGCACTAACCTCTCCATTTTCTCTTCTTCTAGCTTCTTCTGAAAACGCCACTGAGTGTGCTTGACTTCTAGCGGTCTTTCAGGCAGAGTCTGGTCACTGGCTGCAAGCTTTACCTTCAGCCAGTATCGGGACTTTGCTTGACAAGAAGAGCACTCTGCCTTTGGTAATATCGCTTCGACTTGGTGTCAAGACGAATCATCCCCACCGTTTGGTACTCGCGTCGGTGAGTTGGGTCACCATGATCTCTTATGCCAAATGAGCGCTGGCCGTGTCTCCCGCCACGCCTACATCTATGATGTCATCCTCAGAGCTCTTGTCGCAGTCAACGTGCCAGCGGTCTTTGAGCTATCTTTCGTGACGATGGCAAGAGACCTGATGGAATGACGCTCATTCCGTGGAAGCAGGGTCGCCCTCTTGTGTGGGACGCAACTTGCGCGGATACGCTTGCTCCGTGCCACACAGGGAGCACCTCCCTTGCTGCGGGTGCGGCGGCGGCCTCTGTTGAATGCGCCAAACGGCGCAAATAGTCAGCTCTCAATGAAAACTATATATTTGTGCCGTTTGGTGTGGAAACCATGGGCCCATGGGCTCCAAGCGCTCGTTCCTTTTTTAAGGAAATATCAAAGAGACTCACCGAAGTTACTGGTGATCAAAAGGCTGGCAGCTATCTAAGTCAACGGATCAACCTTGCGCCATTCAACGTGGCAATGCTGCCAGCCTATTGGGCACCATCCTTGACGGCGCGGCGGCGCTGGGGGTGACTTATTTTTTATTTTGTAAATAAGATGTTATTGATAAGAAATTTGTATTTAAATATTATAGATTTTCTGTACATATATAATTAAAGTGTCTATAAATATATTTTTAAACGAGAAAAAAAAAACAGATAATTAATTGCAGAAGTATTATTTAAGATGAGACTCCACGGGTTTAATATATTTTGACTTCGTAATTGCCGAACCAAAGTAAAAAAATGTGATGGAGGCTGTATGGACATTATTCTCTTTGTCTTCCCTGAAAAGGGAGAACTACAAAAAAAATGTTATGTCAATGAGACAGGACTGACATTTAACATGACATGTCTTCAACGTGTCGCCGTTTTCTTTCAGTGCAAAAATTTACAGAAGGGAAGAGGCTATTGAAAGGAATAACTTATGTTTTAGACACCCCAAAATACTGTTACTAAATAATATAATTAATGATTATTATACACAATAATCACCATTTATAACTATAAATTATGGTGTTACTCAGAAATGACGAGGTAGAACTTGAGTTCTCAAATTGATAAGCTCTTTTCCATTATGAATTTACATCTAAATTTAATATTTCTGTTTCAGTTCCTTGCAGAACTCGCAAAATTATTCCAAAAGGCTCGTGGTGAGGGTTCAGTGACAATGACAATGAAGAGGTGTAAGTGCAAATTTTTACACTAGGTACCTACTGCACTTTAATATTTATGAGGAAACTAATATTTTGTTCTATTTATTACAGATGATGGTCGCACTAAACCAGAACCCAGAGATGGTACCCCTGTTGTGAAAAATCCAAGTTACAAATGTCTTATTAGAGCACAATTTAGAAGCAAAAAAATTTCTAGCGTTGTGGAGCAAAGAGATGTGGAGAAATTCAGCACTGCTTATTCAAATCTGCTCAAAACAAGTGTCAACGGATTAAAACGTCTAAAAAAGCCCAAAAAGAAAGCCATGGCTGCTCAGTAACTATTTATTAAAAAGGCAATGTGTCAAGACTGAATAAATGTGACCTAAATAGTGTATGTGCAAAATACACTACTATGGTGTCCTAGCATGTGACAAGCTCCATTGAACTGTGCTCTTCTCTCATGAGTGAGATGTGAAGAGTTGGAAGTTATGTCTACACCTGCTAGATATGCAGACATGACTTAGTCATTGACCATCTGTCAAGTGCAAGCAAATTTGTATACATGTATGTACTTTAAGTTAAGTTTCACAAATAAAATATTTCATTATCATTTATTTTATCTTCACATTTCTAATCATGTACTCTTCCTGAAAAAAAAAATTGTAATGAATGTATTAATCTTTGATAAAAGTGTAATGTATAAATTAGCAGGACCAGAAATAAACATCTAGATTTTAAAATAGTGTACATGAAAAGACAAATGAGTATTTAAAGCCATACTTTATTTTACGTATAAAATTATAGTTTCAATTGTAATAAAACAGTCCGTCAATATCACATCATGAGACCAGTGCAAACAGAAGTAATAGGTAACGTACATCTAATTAGATAATTTTATACAAATACCATAAAATTTTTAACATGTTACCAAAAGGATGATTTTAACATTATCACAGTGTTTGAGAACATTAGTGAAAAACTCTATAGAGACTTGTGTCTAGTATGAAAACTTAATTACTAAAAAAAACATTTGAAGATTTATATGAAATATCTTTACATTATATATCCTTAAAATTAATACTGCTATACTTGATTTTCATTTTAATAAAAATGCTAATGACTAAATAATTGGGTCATGACAGTATAGCTTTTATACAAATAATATGAATTACAACAAATGATGATAATCTGACTATAAATTGTATCACTTATTATTCTTTATATTCTTTTTACTTACCTAAGAATATAGACTCACTGGTGATATTAACAAATGCAAAATATAGCTTAACAAAAACGATAAATTAATATAAGGGTTTACATTCATATCACATTATTAAATACATTATAAAGCACCAGATTAACAAATCAGCATTCATTATATGAAATAAATAAATCCATGATTGTTCTAAAAATACAATCACCAGTTAAACAATTTATTTTAGACAAATATTAATTAAATGCAGTTATTAACATTTTAACTTGAATTAAATGAAATTTAGAGATATTTCAGATTCAGTTCTAAATATTTAATGTGTTAGGAGTTTAACTGTCCTGCACCTATAATTTAAGGTACAACAAACAAGTACTTAAGAATCCAATATGTTGAAGTCAAATAAAAAATAAGTCTTACCACATACCTTTAGTTTGTATCAAAACTGATAATATCAACAGCAAATTTTTGAATAGGTACATTCATTAATTTTTTAATTATATAACATCATCATCTTGCAATGCATTCTATTACTCACCATTTCTATTACTTCTTATCAAAATTATAAAATTTTAAGCTGTCAAAATAAAAACAAAGTTTTATAAAACTAAGACAGAAGTTCAAATAAAGTAACCAATTTTTGTTTTCGTTCGTCGTTTGCTAACACTATTTTTCCAACAGTTATGTTTTAGAACTGATTAACCTCATAGAAAAAAAATTTTTTCACCACTACTATACAATTAGTTCTTATCAATTAGTAACAATCTTTATGAATAAATGTTGCAATGATGTAAAATGCTCCTTACAATCAGTTCCATTTAAAACATTTTATCATTTCCCGGTGTTGTAGTTTCACTTAGTTGTTTTGTCAATACTATAGGACATTTTTAGAGGTGAGCCGCTTGAGGCAGGCATTTCTTACGTGGTCGTTGCCGAGCCTCTCGGCTTCCTGTAGTACGCGCCGAAGGTCGTTCGTGCGGTCGTTCCGAGCAGCAAGTATGTACGCACTACTTACATTCCGGCAAGTCAAATAGCAAGATATCTGAAAAGTAAAACTGATCTGTATTAAAAGTTATAGATTAAGCTTATAATAATGTATATCTCGTAGTACCGTACAGTAGTCTGTTGTAGGTGCCTGCAACTTCGCCTGCGTGGAAAAAATAGTTGCATACAAACTGCAAATCCCCTTTCCTTGAAGGGGGTGGCCTTCAAGGATGATTTCTATGATAAAAAATAATCTATATCCTTTCATACTATCTCTGTTTCCAACTCATCTAAATCTGTTCAGCGGTTGAAGCGTGAAGAGGTAACCACGCCCGCCACTATACCCACCTTGATGGTGACGCTGTGTGTGTCCGCGATGAGTATCTCCGCCTGCTCGTCGTGCAGCTGCCCGCGCTCTTCGCAACGTGTCACTACCGCCGCTACGCCCGCTTGCAGCACTTGGTCACTCATCAGACTAGTATAATAAATACAGAAATATAATGATAGCTGTATAGAACATATATAACGATAATTTAAATATCATGATTGATATGCGTTCTTATGTAAGTGACTGATATATCTTAAATGAGAAAAAAAACTTTATTAACATTACCAACCAGTAGTGGAGAATATTGTAACTAGAAAAAATGCAACTCGGCTGAGGGTTCAACGTAAAAAAAATCGTAATTTAAACAATTAAATCAATATTTATTAATAAAATGGCCGCGCAGCTTTCTAATAATATACAATTTGTCCTTATTATCCAAAGTAAATACAACTGTCTTGATTTTCATAAATAAAAATTTATTAGTAAGTATGTAACATCTGATTTAGTATTATATTTTCAGCAGGTTATTTCTATTTTGAAACAAAGTCACTAAAGTACTCACTTTGCAGCAATTTCTTTCGATGATCGAATACATTTAGCTAATGTTTTGACTTCCATGAAACGATCAGATTGCACCAGATACCGTGCAACGTGGGTGTATATGTTCATGGAATCTAGCTTATGTTCCGTGATAATTCTGAAACAAAGGTCAACATAGGTCTTATTTAAACAGAATTTAAACTTTATTTTGTAAGTAGTATGGGCCTATCCACACATCTCCACGTCACTACGTCGCGTCATCAAAGGAGAACGTTGCGGTGTCATAGTCCAGTCGGAATAAACATGAGACCAATTCTAAGACACCAGCGCTTAGCCAATTTTTTCCTAGATAGTATAGACCCCCACGAATATGCCCTCCATTTGTCCCCGCTAGAACCCGTGTTTTGTAGCCAGAAAAATTGTTTAAACAAAGAAAAACCGTTTTCTTTGAGTTTTTTTGCTTGTAAACGGGGATTTTGAAAAATTTTTTGAATCAAAGTTGTTCATTAGCTTGCCCTCTACAAAATCAGTTCTATGAAAAAATAACGTGAGATTGTTAGTTTAGCAGTAAATTGCAATTATGTCGGTTTTACGTTTGCAACAATTCAACATGTTATAATAAACATTTTGATTTCTAAAGTAGTTTATCATGTGGGTAACGCCACTCCCAAGAGAGTCATGTAAAATTTATCGACCTGTGTCGCAAACTTTAGCAACAATTCTCAATCTCCGAAAAAAAAGTACTTGCCTGTCCCGTCTTTCCCAGAAGGCGCACAGCGGGGAAAAAAATTCAGGTGATTCGATTCACCAAGAATTTTGAGGAATCGATCGAGTAGAAAAAAATCGTTAATAAAAATGTTCGTTTTTGGACGATTTAATTTTTTTTTTAAAAATTGACGTAGAATATTTTTTTTTTAAACTAATGTATTTTTCTCTCCTCAACTCGAATATACGATTGAAAATTTAAAAAATTCAGTTTATTTATGTACAGAAATTATTTACAAAACTATTAACTAAAATTCGATTACAAGACTGCGTTGTATTCTATATTTCTAATTAAATTAATTTCGTCCTTTTTTCTTCCGGTTCATAATCGGAATTCTCAGGGTATATTAGTATTATATATATATATATATATATATATATATATATATATATATATATATATATATATATATATATATATATATATATACTGCTAAACTAACAATCTTACGTTATTTTTTCATAGAACTGATTTTGTAGAGTGCAAGCTAATGAACAACTTTGATTCAAAAAAATTTTCAAAATCCCCGTTTACAAGCAAAAAAACCGGTTTTTCTTTGTTTAAACAATTTTCCTGGCTACAAAACACGGGTTCTAGCGGGGACAAATGGAGGGCATATTCGTGGGGGTCTATACTACCTAGGAAAAAATTGGCTAAGCGCTGGTGTCTTAGAATAGAAGTCGGTCCAAATTATGGCTATTCCGACTGGACTATCACGGCAGTGTTCGTTGCGGCGTAGTCATGATTTACTATACCTACGGTAACGTAAATTTACACGTTAGTGCCCACAGAACACATACCCAAGGGCCTGGACAAATCTCCACGGTGCCGATAACGTTGCAGGGTTGTCGTAAGTTAGCAAAGTTTTTTTTTGTGTAACAAACACAAATAATTTTTTTTACCATAACAATGATAAAAAATAGATAAAATAATATTTAATGCTTTAATCGTTTTTCAATGATTTTTAGCCTATCCGCCTTCGAAGGCCAGTTACAACAAAAATAGGCTGATTAAGTACATTTTTTTATGATCTTTGGTAGTTTAGAAGCGTGCGGAGTTTTTAATTTTAGCCAGAAGCTATGGAAACACCTTTTTGTATTTTTAAATTGAAGTTGAATTTTTGAGTAAATCCTACTAAAAACTAAAGTTCTAACTTTCAAGCCTTTTTTGAGTAACTTTAAGTAATTTCAGGAAGCTGAGTTATTTTTTTTATTAAAACAACATTCAAGACTATTATGTCACAAAAAAAAGACTGCAAAATACTTATTACGAAAAAATATATGAATCTTTGAAACCTCCTTGGCAGAAATTATTAAAAACACAAAAAAAATTATAACTCCTCTCACCCGCTCTGAGTATTATATGGACTCCTTTACGATTAAAGCTGCACAGCTTTGGAACAAGCTTCCGCCTGAGATCCGTCACGCTAAATCAATGCACACTTTTAAAAATATACTACATGATTTTCTGTTACTTAAATCCTAGTCTGCTGTATCTATAAATATATAATATTGCATAATATGTTTATTTGTGTAGGTATATATAGTATGTATATTTGTGTAGGTATATGTTATTTATTTGTATATAATCTTTATATGTTTAAGAAAATATGTACATTTCTCTATTTTATCTTGCTGGCATTCTGCAACTTCCTCTTCGTTAAGTTATTCTTTACCGCAAAGGTTGTCTGGAAGAGATCGCTTAAAGCGATAAGGCCGCCTTTGCCCACATTATGTTATTGTTTCCTTATTTTTGTATTCTTTTGTGTGTGTGCAATAAAGAATTTATCTATCTATCTATCTATAACTCGAAAAATAAGAAAAATCGAGGAACATAGATAGGGTATTTCCGGATACCCCCAGGTGCGAGGAATCTAAAAAAAATTGTTATCGTCACTAATTGGACCAACCTGTATATTTGGGTCGTAATGAAATTGGCAGGTATTTTTTTTAGTATTTTGTTAAGTAATAATAATAATAGTATAGTAATACAGATCAAAATAAATGAAGGGTACGTAGATTGCACCACAGGATAACACACCAAAAACTTATTACCAGACCGAAATACACTAAACGAAAGTTTGCAACGTTACCGGCACCTTTTCAAGTTGACGACGTTGTGACGTAACGTGGAGATGTAGACAGGCACTTTGGGAAGTTCCTTTGGACTGGGTTAACTCATATTTAATGCGACTAGGGCTATCTGTTGAGTCAAACTGGAATAGGCTATTTGACAGTATGAAAAATAAAGTACCAAATGTTGGCATCTGTATTTAATATGAATATCAGAAGCGTTTTCACTATTCTGGGAGAACAAAAAATTAACAACTTTTCCTAAAACTCAATAAAATGAAATGTTTTTTTGTTCTATGGTCACGACCGAAAACGCTTGGCATTGGCGAAGACTAAAATGAGGACACACACTAGTAAACTTCCGGTCAAAGTAACATTACATTGTATCGTACGTTCTATGTTGATCACGACTGTCATTACGTTTTAATGACAGTCGTGTGACGTCATACCTTCGGTAATGACAGTCGTCACATACCTATAAGACGCCATAATGTCCAAAGAAACGTTTTCGCGGTTAAACTTTACCTTAAACTTATTTTTTTTTTATTTTGATTTAGTTTTTTTTAATACACAGCAGAATGATGAAAATATCTACTTTTTAAAGATTCTATAAACATTAGTCAATAACGTGAGATCGTGTTCTAAAATTTGTCAAATACCCTATTGCGATTAAACCGCCGCTGTCGATTTCATCTGACCCTATCGGAAAAGATACTTTATATTTTATAAGTATTCCTTCCACCTGTTTTAAAAATACAAATTGAATTTATGAAATAAAGTTAAAGAAATAATTTAAAATGCTGAAAATGTTTCTTTAAATAATACGTACTGTGGATACGAAATTTACATCCAATCCCACTGTAGGAAAAGGCAAAACAGGCGATTTTAAGTATAGATAGATTATATTCATCTAACCGACGGGTTTGTTTGTATTTAAATGCTGACAGTGATTGAATTATATAGATGGAAGGAAAAGAAGTGCTTTCTTTTATAGATCAAACAAAGTATTACTAACATTTAGCAAAACATACTTGAAAGCCAACTCGAATCCGGACTCAATGGACTATCCAGTTGCCAGCACTATGGCCACCAGTCTGATTATGTCCGTGGTCGATCCGAATAAAGAAACTAGCCTAAAGTCTTCGTCCCTTCATTTGGTCTGTACCGGTATTAATTAGTTGAGAACCTTTTGTTAAATGTTAACATTTAGTAAAACTTACTTGAAAGCCAACTCGAATCCGGACTCTATGGACTGTCCAGTCGCGAGCACTACGGCCACCAGTCTGATTTTGTCCGTGGTCGATCCGAACAGGGTAACCGGCCTGAAGTCGTCCTCACGCTTACTGCTTTGCACCGGTATCACTTCGTTGAGAACCTTTTCCGAAAGTCTGCCGTTGGCCTCGCAACCCGCTAAGTACTTGGTTAGCTCTATTTGACGTGTCATGGTCGTCATCAGATTGTCTATGGTAGTTTTATCCAAATTGAAGTGAAGCGACTTGGGATCATTGGCCTCTGTGTAAATAGAAAGTTTTATATTACAATTATTATTATTTATGTTGAAAGGATGGCAAACAACCATATGGCCTGTCTGATGGTAAGCTGCCACCATAGCCTATATAATATTACTGTTTGTTTTCTTCATGGTGTACATTACACTGTTGGATTTTTATTACATACTGCGTCGTATTTTGCCTGTTAATGTCCCATATGATAAGGCACATTCTTTCCCTATAAGAATGGGCCTTGAGTCTATTTATGTTCTCAGTATATGTTAGGGCACAGGCATTCCCTAGCAAAAGAGGCCATAGCTATAACCGTCTTATATGCTAACGACAGATAGATACAACTAGCTGCATCTGCAGTCGTTAGCTAGTACCGTTTGAGCGTCGTATGCGCGTTTTTACGAGCAGACCCGCGAACACACTGCTCCTTTCCATATTGAAATTATAGGTTCATTTCTTACTTTATAAATCAGAATTTAGGTCAGTTGAGAGGCTCGTCCGCGCAAGGTTAGCGAGTTTGGCTACGATCATTCAAGTTAAGTAACTAATTCTCAGTGGTCGGTCATTGGATGGGTGACCAAAATTTTACTATTACGGCACGCACTGCCCCAGGTGGTGCAGGGCGGCGTTGAGGTGGTGCTGGCGGGCCAGTAGGGCGCCGAAGGGCGCGGACCCGCGGGGCGCCGGCCGCGAGTACAGTAGTTGACCGCTCCAGCACTGTAGCGCGTATATAATGATAACGAGCACTCACTGGCGGCGATGGGCACGCACTGCCCCAGGTGGTGCAGGGCGGCGTTGAAGTGGTGCTGGCGGGCCAGTAGGGCGGCGAAGGGCGCGGACCCGCGGGGCGTCGGCCGCGAGTACAGTAGTTGACCGCTCCCTCACTGTAGCGCGTATATAATGATGACGAGCACTCACTGGCGGCGACGGGCACGCACTACGCCAGGTGGTGCAGGGCGGCGTTGAAGTGGTGCTGGCGGGCCAGTAGGGCGGCGAAGGGCGCGGACCCGCGGGGCGTCGGCCGCGAGTACAGTAGTTGACCGCTCCCTCACTGTAGCGCGTATATAATGATGACGAGCACTCACTGGCGGCGACGGGCACGCACTACCCCAGGTGGTGCAGGGCGGCGTTGAAGTGGTGCTGGCGGGCCAGTAGGGCGGCGAAGGGCGCGGACCCGCGGGGCGTCGGCCGCGAGTACAGTAGTTGACCGCTCCCGCACTGTAGCGCGTATATAATGATGACGAGCACTCACTGGCGGCGACGGGCACGCACTGCCCCAGGTGGTGCAGGGCGGCGTTGAGGTGGTGCTGGCGGGCCAGTAGGGCGGCGAAGGGCGCGGACCCGCGGGGCGTCGGCCGCGAGTACAGTAGTTGACCGCTCCCGCACTGTAGCGCGTATATAATGATGACGAGCACTCACTGGCGGCGACGGGCACGCACTGCCCCAGGTGGTGCAGGGCGGCGTTGAGGTGGTGCTGGCGGCTCAGTAAGGCGGCGAAGGGCGCGAACCCGCGGGGCGTCGGCCGCGAGTACAGTAGGGCGCAAGTAGCGGACGCTCGCGCGTGTTGACCACTCCCGCACTGTAGCGCATATAAGGCATCGAGACGCTTCGTCATCTCGAGAGTGCGGCATATGTGCATTATGTACTCCTGTTTTTTAAAATATAGAAACCTAACTATGGACAATTATAATATGATTAAAAACTTAAATTTAGCAAAGATATGATCGTGTTCGCTGTTCCACCATGTGGAGAAGGGAGTAACGTGTAATGAAACGGTGTACACTTAATCTATTATTTTATTAGCGCCAAGCGACTGCGGACTGCGACATGTCGCTGCGCACGCCACACTGTCATACATTACAGAGATTAACACAAAGGTGGGTTATCTGCATGGGAACAAAATAGTAATCTGACCCCACAATCGTGTTTCGTTTACAGTGGTGTCGATTCCGACATAATAAATATTAAATAAATATGTCCAACACTCACACCAATTAGCCTAGCCCCAAAGTAAGCACTGTAAGGCTTGTGTTATGGGATGCTAGGGTAACGGATAGAATACATATACTGTACATATATAAGTATATTTTTATGGAAATACATATTAAACATTCATGACTGGAGTACAAATGCTCGTATTCATCACACAAACATCTGCCCCCACCGGGATTCGAACCCAGGACCTCTCGAGTCGGCGACACCATGAAACCCGGCGTACAAACCACTCGACCACGGAAGTCGTCAAAACATGATTCTCTAAACCTACAATTAAATTTGACAAAAGCGCATCCTTATCATTCTCTATACAGAATGAACAGGAAAGACTGATATTAAATTTAGTTTTAAGTTTCGAGAAATACGCCAGAATCGACACCAATATCAACAGTATACCCCAATCTTATTAAGCGATAAGAATGGTCAACTGCAAAGTCGTAAACTTGAGAGAAACTTTAAGGCTAAGAAAGAACTTACGATGCGGTTTTTTCTCGCAGGCGACCGCAGAGCTGTTTCATTTCAAAACTCACGAGACCGCAGTTTTCCACCGCGGCCGACCGCGGTCCTGCAGCTGTCGCTCTTAGCACAAAGAGTATAAAAAGCCATATCTTCTCAACTTTTCATTTACAAAATTAATCATGCACACTTACCGACCACATTTCCAATGTGCTGTCCATATCACTCATAGCCTTCAACAGTTCATTGACCCGGTCCTTCTTCAAACACTCCATATACACGCAATCCGTAAACGTCTCCTTCTCTACCATGTTATCATAACAATACGTGATAACTTCCGTCATATTGCTATGCTTCAAATAAAATGCTATATTGGCTACATGAGATCCATAATTGCTGAGATAATATACGCATTCTTTATAAAAGAACGGGTCAAGTCTTTTATGGTTTTGGTCTGGTTTGTGTTCGGCTTGGGTGGTGTGCCTTCGCAGTAGACCCTGGGCAAGACTCTTCTTTGGTTGAACTACAGCCGTTTGGAAATCGCTGTAATCGCCCTGTTTAATCTTTCTAACGCTAGCGAGTGTGTGCATCAAATTAAGTGCCGGTTCTGTAAGTTGAATTTTCTTCTTTCCCACATTTAATGAAGTCAATTTTTCGTTGGTACTCTAAAGATAAAATGCTTAGTATTAAAAACAATATTTACATTTCAAATAAAGAAACCAGCGTCCATTGCATTTTTATAGGTATAAAATTTTAGTAAACTGTCCTGGCTGTTAATCATAATATTAACTTGACCTCTGTCAGAATTACTTAATTATTAAGAATATATGTACCTACTACATTAAAATTACGCTATAAGTCTTTCACGAAACTATAAAAGTGTATAAATAAATTTTAATCAAACTGTAATGAGGGTTTTCTGGAATGACGGGCGCCAGGTGGCAGCACTGAGACATAAGGGAAGGGAGGACACTCTTCCGTCAAATCACTTATGTTTTCATAGTCTATGGATCAATGGAACTGCTCATTCGATTACTTCGCACCAAAAACTTCATACAATAAACCTTTTTTCACAGTGGCGCTACCTGATGACGTAAATTTTCTTAAACACACTAATTGAATGAACAAACTAACCTTTATCGTCTCAGCTTTGGTCAACAGCTGCTGGTTGACGGGATAGTTCATATTCTCCAACATATTAACGATTTCGTTCAACAACGGCGGATTGGTTCGCGGCCGCCCATCCGACTGCACGCTGGACATCGAACTAGAAGATCTCTCCGAATATCTCAGACTCTGCACTCTTCTACTCATGAAATGCGATTCAGAAGCCTCCTTGCCGTACTCGCAGTCCTCTTCAACACAAACATTAACAGTACTCTTGAAACAATGTGAGAACTTTTCGCGCGCCTGCTTGAAGCAGCCGGCCTTCAAACATGCTTTACCCCAAGCGGCTAATACGCTGTTCCGGGGGAGACCTGATTTTGTTGCGATTTCGAGTGCCAACTCCCATTTTTCCGCTTCCAGTAATGATCTTACAATTTGACCTGTAAAAGCGAATACATGACCGTTACAAGTGCATTATGTGTTTAGTGCCTGATGGAGGTTACGCGGATGCCCCAGCGTTGTCGTACCTATATGCCCATACAAACAGTGATGCCAACTTAGCAACTTTATAGTTAGATCTAGCTATTATTTGGTATCACACAACTACAATTTAATAATATTAGTAGCTAAACTATTTGGCTATTTTTTCTAGCAACTTTTCATTTCATCATGAGCGATTCATAGAGAAGGGTACCAAATCTTTAACGAAAAACTAAAAACTGAACGCGACTCTATATAAATTAAAGATACTATGGTATCGGTCGTAGGTCGGCCTTAGCCGGGAATTCCCCATTTAATGTTGCGCTACGACAGAATGCAGCATACTGCATTCTGTCGTCCCGGTCTTTGACCGGGATGGCCATGATGTCTCTCATAACAGAAGGTGGGTACTTATTTACTAAACGAAAATAGTACGCACCACTCATATTCTACCCAGTATTTTTTTGTTTTATCCATATAAAACTTATGCTCGCTGTTTTAATTTAATGTAAAAATGGATTTACCCTTGAGAAAAAAAACATAACAGAAATACAGCCAGGTTGGTTAAAAGCAGCAAGTGGGGACTCAAGCAAAGCGTTTTGTACTAATTGTTCTACGGAAATTCTTCTTAAACTATTGTACATAAAGAAACATACTAGGACAAAAAACTTAGACAGAAAGTAGAGTTCCAAACAGGTACGTTTTGTTGAAAGCAGACTTTTTAGACGGGAAAATTTTGTATGATAATTTTAGTTTATAAGTTTCTTTTTTTAAAATGAAGGTCCCAAACTCATTTTTATGCGTCAACGGTCAGTGTTGATATCCTTTCTTGTAATATAGTATCTTTTTTACCTACTAGAAGATTTAGCTACTACTAGCAACTTTTTGGGGTAATCAAAACTGACAATCTAGCAACATTTTGTAAGATGTCTAGCAACTGGGCAATGCTAGTAGTTGGCAACACTGCATACAAATTAATCCGCCGCGGTTAGCAGCTCGTGCGTTTTTCACCTTAATGATAATTATGAAAGGCTTATATTCTAATGGAGTATGAATGGAATGTGTATTTGGCTGTTTATTTAAAATTTTATTTATTACTTTAAAAAATTAACTTATATTTGAGTCATTACATGGTTTTCTAACCGTTACTCTAGTATCTCTTATTTTATTTATTTATTATTCTATAACACAAGCCTTGCAGTGCTTAATATGGGGCTAGGGTAATTGACGGTAGTCTTAGAAATATTTATTTACTATCTAATAATATGTACTTTACTCCTAACTAGGGTGAGCCTTCTTATGGTACAGCGTTGCCAGATTTTTCTTTTGCAGTCGGGATTTAGGAACATTTTGATTGAAAAAAGCGGGATTCTTTCATCCAAAGCGGGACATAGTAAAAAAAAGTTATGTAATTAAAAGTTTTTGAATACCTATTTATCTTTTTATTTGAGTTCAAATTACATTTACGTGACAATAGATAGGTACCTAGTAAAAAGATCCATAGAAAATGTATTTTAATAAAAATATGATATTTTAAATCAGATTTACCCTTTCGTTATATAGTTGAGTTTTTGTTTGAGAGTTCTTCATTACGCGCCGAGCAGGTGGCCAGTCCACACTTGTCTGTGGCACCCGCCCGCGCTTTCTCAGTACACTGCACTCACGGTCGATCCCGAACGGTCGGTCGTTATTCCCGAAAAGCGGGATTGAGTCTGTCCCGCGCGGGTCATTTAATTTTGATTTAAAAATCGGGACGTCTGGCAACGCTGTTATTGTATTATTTAAAACACCTGGTCTTTGGGTCTTTGACCGGGATGGCCATGATGTCGGCGTGCGCAACACAAAGCTATCTGTGAAATAAATGAGTACTTACTAGGGTGAGCGCCTTGTTGTGGTATTAGGTGATGCGCTTGGTGTTTGACTAGGGTGGCCATGGCGTCAGCGTGCGCGAGACAACGGGTGGCGTGCGCTGCGCCTGTTTCTGCTAGGCGGCTGATGTTACCAGACCCGCTAGGAATAGTCAAAAAGAAGAAACCGAATTTAAACATCATAATGAAGTCTTAATCAAGAAATTTGAAATGAGAAATTAAATATTAGATATTAGATTTTTTTCTAAAACAGCAACTAAAAATACGACTCTAACAGCATATTTTGCTTATGTGGAATCGGTCTTGCGATATGGGCTTATTGTTTGGGGTAATAGTACGGACATACAAAGGGAATTTGTAGCACAGAAAAAGTGCATAAGGGCGCGCTAAGATTGCGCGCGATATGTCATGCAAACCATTTTACAAACCAAAGTTTATTTTAAAAATCTATTCAGGCGCCGCCGCTCTCAATTTTAAGATTGCAGCATTGTCGATATCGCATATTTATTACAAACTGAATCAAGTTGGTAATTATTTTAAAATCTTATTATTTTTAGAGACCGAACGTAATAAAAGATTAAGAAGAATTAATTGGCCGACTCACTTTTTCTCGTGTGGTGTCCTTGAATATAATTCGGCAGCGGCGAGTAGTAAAGACCTGCGAGCGCGCACCAACAGACGCGCGTCGCCGCCTCTCGACAACTCGCGCGCCACCTCGTCGCTGCGGTCTAACAGAAACCTGCCATCGGAATATATGTTCATCATCATCAACCCATGCTCGTCCACTGTTGGATATAGGTCTCCCCTAATGCACGCCACTGCTCCCGAATTTCTGCCACTCTCATCCAGCCCACTCCAGCCAGCCTACGAATGTCATCATCCCATCTTGTCTCAGGGCGTCCTACACTACGTTTACCGAGTCTCCACTCAAGAACTTAACGGCTACAACGGCCGTCAGATCTGCGGCTAATGTAATTAGCCCTCTGCCACTTTAGTTTGCTAATTTGGTGGGCTATGTCGGTGACTCTGGTTCTCTATATGTTACCTATATAATTTTACATTACCCGTGGTCCCACCAACATGGTGGTGGGTCCACGGGTCATTTTTTTCGCGTTGTCCCACCGTTCCGCACAGTGTTCGCCAGTGGGTCTACGGGTAATTCATTTTTACCATGGTCCCACCGCACTAAGTGGTAAAAATTTATTTTGTGGTGTAAGTGTCACCTACATAGAAATACTGTTTGGTACGTTAAAGTAATAATACATTGCCTCCATAGTCACACCTCTGCGGCTTCATTTATGTTAACGGTCAATTAATATTAGCGCAGAAACGAAGCGCATCGAAGCGTGACATAACAAATTCACCCTTATTTACGCAACTTCCTCCCGAGCTGATAATCAGAATTGGTCGGGCGCAGACGAATTCGACGGAATTCGTACGTCTTCATTGTATCTCAGAAAGAAGAATGCTGTGAATTTGCTTTGTTACGTTTTGACGCTTCAGTGCGCTACGACTCTGGGGTAGTATAAATTGACCATAAGATATATTTATATCTCATTGTATTATAACACCTTTAATGCTCTGCCAAACCAACAAACGATTTTATATGGCATGAAGCTGCATAAAATTATGAAAATCAATACAAAACACTCAAGATATTGTACTGAAGGACAAGACTCGTAATAAAATTTAATTTTACCTTGGGTAATCCAGATTGATTGAATGCATCTTCATAATAGTTAAACACAGCGTAACGTTGGGCGTGAACTCGTAACTGAACTCGGCTCTTACTGCCTCATTCCTCCCCGCATTGGTTGAGAGGCACCAGTCCATGCAAGTGACGCCGCTACCGGCAGAGTCGGAGTTACTACTCAACATTAGGTTCTCATTATCAGAACTAGTTCTCTTGTTCATCGTTTGAGTGTAACAGTCGTCGCACACCCTGAATTTCACACTGCTGGGGTATGTCGGCACCTAAAAGTTTGTAACATTCAGGTCATTAGAATACATTAAAAATTCTCTCAAGACCTCAATCTAAGTGTTGGGTTAACTAGACGAGCTAGAAATAAATTGTTAATAGAACCATGAAGGAGACCTCTTCTTAGGAAGATTAGATCTAGTCTGTACTGCATTGATACAAGCACTTACCTGCATCCGACGCCTAGAACAGGCATGGCACACAAGCCTGCCGCACCGGCGGCAATGATGTCTGCGAATAATCATAGAGAATATAGATGTGTTGCATAGCATGCAGCGATCAGCCGAGTAATCCTCCACCCATTGGTCCTTACTAGGCACTTGCTCCGGCATCACAAACGGCTTCGTCGCCGCTTCTATATTGATAGAATCGATCGACTGGAGTAACGAGTCATCCGTAGGTTTCGGTGGAACAGGACAAGTATTCAAAGGATTCTTCATATCTAAAGCTTTTTCTGCGTAAAACCTCAACAAAGCATCCACGGAGTTTCTAGATATTATCACGCTCTCTATGGTCATAATATTATAATACAAATTGTCACCACTAGGATCTTTCTTTAAGTTTGGCCATATTTTATTGATAATCTTAGCTAGCACGTCTAGTTTTGCGTTCATTAAGAATTGCTCGACCATTAGTAATGGTCTCTCTATTAAATCCCAAAACAAATGGCGAATGCTTGTGTCAATTTCCAGCATTATTTGGAGTCCTATTTTGATATTTTCGAAAGATTTCCAATCGAATGAGTTGTCCGAAATAAATTCAATGCAAACTTGTAGTATTTCTATGTTTCTTACTTTGGTCATTTCTTCCTGAATGAGATCCATAGCTTGGTTCATCGGAAGCCTACCGAGAAGTTCTCGGATTAATTCTGGAGTCGCTTGATTCGTGTATTCGAAAAGTTGCTGTAGTAGACTCTTTACAATAAGGTTTTTCATATTATCGGAAACGTTATGAGCGTCTGCCCATTCTAAGCAAAGTTTATACTGAAAGGAAATCACGAGTGAAAACGTATGTATCTTTTCATAATTTAAGAAGACCTAATTAAGCAAACTCACCTGTTGACTATCCAAAAGAACTTCTATGATATTTTCAGGATTTTCCATAGACCTTTCGTAGATATCAAACCAATGGTTTGCACCCATTATGGATGCTATCTACAAAACAAAATATACATTTACAAGTGAATGAAATATTACGTCACGCGAAACTTATAACGCAATAATTATGGCAAAAAATAATAAATTCCTACCTGATCGTACAGGGGTATTTTAATCACCCAATCTGTACACTTTTCATATAAACCGTCTTCTAATGCGTCTACTTTTAACAGAAACCTTAAATAATCCAATACTTCCATTGCCCCTGTAGCTGGCCAACTATTAAGGTTGTTTAAAATTAAATTAACTTTTAGTTCAGGGCATTTCAAGTACTGACAATATCTCCAGTTATTATTTATCATTGGATTTGTCGCAAGTTTGAAAAGTATCAAATCTCTCAGGTTGCTTAGATTAGCACTGCACATCAGCTGTCTTTCGGACAGACACTCTAGAATATTCAAACATTTCAGAATTTTCCCTGTACCTATAAGCTGCGGCATATATGTAAAAAGTTTATCCAAATCTATCGTTGTATGAAGCGAAGCTAAATATTTATTGCCATCGAATAATACTTTTAGGCAATTAAACCTTTCCAACTCCATATAATTATTCAGGGCTTTAGTCCGAGCATCCATACTCTGCTGTAAACTGGTTTCGTTGGAAGTAGTATGAATTTTCTTTATTATGTGAGCCAGTACCCAATAATGAAGAACGATATAGGTGAGACACTGTGGATCTGGTGATCGGGGTAAAGGTGCAAAGTTCGTCACGGGGTCTAAGAACAACTTCTCTTCTGGATTCCTAAACTCGTAAACGGACTGAAGAAGATTATTAAAATTTTCTTCAGTCGCTTCTTTGTGAGGACCTGTTAACGATATCGAAGGACAAAAATTTAAAATAAGTTTTGGAATTAGGTTAACATTTAATTTCTTACATATCGGTTCTAAGCTTGTAACAGGAATCTCCTTGTTGTTAATCATGTTGCCGAACACATCGCTTAGTTGCTTTTCTAATATAAAAAAGTAGGGTAGGTCTACAGAGCCATCGGAGGAATGAGTTTCCTCTTGTTCCAACTGAGAAACAGTTTTGCAGTAAATATAACACATTCTCAGGTATGGTATTCTAGTCTTTTTGTTCCCGTGATGTGCTACTTCAGCCATATTACAAATATCTTTATCGGTAGCGGTCACAACATTCATATAAATCTGATGATACTTTTGAAGTAAATTTTGATCTATCTCTGTTGTCTCGTTTATATTTACAATGTCAACTAAATCCTCGCAAGACTGTCTCATCTCCTTAGCAAGTTGATTCATTTTGCAAAACTCTTTATGTTTTATTGGAATTCTGCAGTCAACGATCAGACCGCAAACGTTATCAATGAAATCAAACGATTTTTCGGCATTGCCAAATATTTCAAAAGTGACGCTGGCTATATCTTCAACGAAACGAATGTAATTGTTTTTTTTAACCGCGGAAACATCAGTAGAACTTCTTACTTCGGCGAGTTTCCTTTCTACAACGTTTATCAGACCATACGTTATTTCCCTATTGAGCCCACTGCTAAGTAAGATATCGACAGCATTAATAAAAGGAGCATTTTGATGACTGTACAACTGTAAATGCGGGTGACGTGTTGCTAACTCTAAAATATCAAACGAATGAGGAACTCTATTTGAAGCTAAAAAGCCTTCCACTAGTCCCATGACCTCTGTCGACACAACAGACAAGGACGACAGTTCTTTTGTGGCATATCTGGTGTCGTCTCTGTAGTAAATAATATTCTTTATTTTCGCTACTAAATGTCTAAGCTGTTCCGTGAAAGTGACTTCTGTGGCAATTTCGGAGTCTGCCAAATCGAACATCTGAAATGAGTAGAAACACAAAAGATATTAACTTACGTTTGGTTCAATTATAAATTCTTAACGGGGAATACTGTACTGGGTAATTTGAAATATCTTATTTTCCCTGTTCTACCGTATATCTTAACAACGCGTATGACTCTGGATGAGGTTCCAAATACATAATGATTTTTTTAAACAATTAATAATCAACTATGAACTTGAACAAGGTTGTTTTCCATCAAACCGAGACGATGGTTCTTTTCGAAATAATAATTTTATAATTGATTATTTACTCTCTAAATAGAGCGTAGCAGCGCAGATGACGATGATAAAAGTATCTCCCACCTGGTGGGGTCTAAGTCGTTTCAAAAAATGAGGATTTTCTTCTTCAAACACTATTTTACTCAACACAACCACTCCCAGTTTTATTCCGTTAATTTCCATTTCTCTGTGGAAGGCAGGCGTAAAAGTGAAACAATAACCATAAATCTTATATTACATCATTATAAAGATTAAAACCTAAAATTGAAACCGTCATCGAGAATGTTTGACATAATTTTATGTCACATTATCGAGTGTTATTTTTGACAGTATCAAGTGGCTATCTGCAAGCATGATATAATTTTGTTGAAATTAATGTTGTTTTACCTCGCATTATGGCTTTTAAATTGCATCAATGTGGATAGCATAAAACAAAAATCTTATAATTACTTAATTAATGAGGGGATCCATGAGGTGGACTATGAGATGATGAGTAAAGAGGAACCGACGCGCCAAGTGATGAACAAGTACGACTTTTCAAAACTTTTAATCCATATTTTTGCTAAATACAATTATTTCAACGTTGATTTAACAAAATGACTTGGAATTATTACATAAACACGTAGCAAATTAATTACCTACTTAGCAAAACATGATAAGTACATGTTATTTTAAACATTTACTATAGGTTAAGTATGTACGTGTAAAAGTTTATTTTTGTTAATTACGCAATTACCTTTATAGTATTGATAAAACAGTAATAAGATTAACAAATTACTGCACTGTGACGAGACAACAAAAAGATTATGTTTTATGTACATCCAAATTAAGTTATATCGTTTAGTAGGAAAAACTATTATGCATATGAAGGGTTAAGGGGAAAAACAGGCTAAGTCACATTAATAACACTTTACAGTACACGCAATTAAAGTTACGACAGCCGTTTATGATTGATTCAGAAAATCTGCTCATATACAAGCAATTAATTTTAAAAGTAAATTGAATAGTTTACTACGTCCACCTACATGTAACAATTTTCTGAATAAAAATTGCACAATAACAAAAATAACTGATATTTCATTTAAACACCCTAACACTCTGGGAGGAGGAGAAGTTAGTTAAAAAAAAATAAGACGACGTGTTTAACCCTTTTTTAAGATAGTCATAAGATGAAATGAGTACTTTTGCGGCGATAGGTTCCAAAAAATCAATTTAAGAAAAATTTACTAAGCTCCTTTTTCCCCCTTAACCTTTCATATGGTATCACGGTACTACCAGCCAGCATATTTTTTAAGTTATTACCTGCTGGCTGATAAAGTGGTATAATTCTTTTATCTACCAATATATACTAATGAAAAAGGTATTGCTCGTTTTATTAAATTTACCAGACAAATATTAGTGACATATTAATAACTAGTGGGTGTCCGCGACTACGTCTGCGTGGAAAAAAATGTTTCTCTTACACCCACACTGTTCCTCCCCTTAAATGATGATTTCTAGGATAAAATCTATCCTATGTTCTTTCCCGTATATCTTTTCTATTAAATCTTTCAGCTGTCTAAAGCGTGAAGAGGTAACAGACAGATACATACACTATCATGTACTATAAGATAACCGTTTTAGCCACGAATTGGAAATGATTTAAAGTGATGAATATTACTTTCAGTTTTTATCACATTTACCAAATCTTGCCATGTGAGAGATGCAGAATAGACAAGACACAAATCAAGTTACCGCAAATAATCGTAAATTTATATGGCGGGTGGTAGTCAGTCTTCGGCAGATTCCAATTTATTGTGACACGTAGTGCACTTAATTGTAAATCGTTTCCCAAAAAACACCTTTTTTAAATAATTATTATAATATAAATCATATAAATATTTCTTGGCAAATGGCAAGTTTATTTAACTATTTTTTGTTGCCAAACATCAAATATATTCAATAGGTAACTCAAGCAGTGATAATGATTCTATTAATCTTCCATTTCGTTGTCAGGTATATTCTGGGTATTTTATTTCAAGAAGAATCCATCATAAATTGGTATAATGAGTTCACCACGAATTCACGATTATCATGCATGACTGGATTCATTGACATTTTCCATAGTGATTGCGTAGACGTTAAGCTGATACACACTAAAATATGGCGTTCATTATCACAGGGTGGCCAGAATGCTTACAAAATTATTCAATTTTTAAACACGAATTAAAATTAATCGAAGTAATATAAAAAATAAAAGTATCTGTTCATGTCATAGATTAAACCAAGCTTTCAAATTACCTATATATGTTTCGTCGCTGCCGAAAACCGACACCACTTTTGGACCATCTCCTTTGCAATGTAATATGCATATTATATTAAGTAATATATAATTCAAAATGTGTTGGGGAGATTTGGAAGTTATAGATAACTTGAGCTGAGGTGCCTTTACTTAACATTTATTTATTACATGTTACTACATTATTCATAGTTCTTAATAGCATGAGAAGCAAACAATTTATTTCAGTATTGCGAGAAGAGAGTATAGAAAAATGTCTTATCATTATAATAAGATACTACATCCAAATTGGTTCAAAAGTCGTGAGTCTACAGACTATGATAATGGAATTTTAATTAAAAAGTTAGTTCGAGTAAGTAATATGTCTCTCACAAATGATTTTTTTTTTAAAACGGCCCGCAAGCGAACTATGTGACCATGTCTATCGAAAAATATTACGGCGTTTTCCCATTACGTCGTGACGACAAATTATCGTATCGTTTAAAGCGTCGTGCGTTGCGGCTTGTCTATTTCAATGGAGGTGTTCATATACTTATAGGACGATACGATTAACTGTCGTCCACGACTTTTTGCAGTGACGACAGATTGATAAACAATCAGCACGGCTATAGCGCAGTTCAAAAACGATATAAAAAACGGAACGAATTAGCGTGACGGCAAATTTAATCATATGTCGTTGTTGCGACAATCTATCGTAGCCAAGAAAAAAATATTTGAGAATGAACGTGGAGGCAACTGATGTGTAAATGACTAGGTGACTGCTGTGAACCGTAAAAACAAAAAAAATGTCGTCACGATCTGCGGATACGACCGTCGTTCAACAATAAAAGATTTCGCTGATACAGTAGCGATAAACAAACAGTCGATATTAATATGAACAGCTAGAGACGACAGTCGTCCAACGAAAAAATATTATGCAAGACACATAGGGCGGAAACGCACCCTTATTAATTGACACTATAGTTCATATAAAGGGCTATTCATTTATTACGTAAGGTGATTTAGGGGGAGAGGTACAACCCCCCGGTTGACTAAGTCTTATTTTTCCTTACAAGGGGGTGGGAGGGTGTCTTAATAGTTTGATACTTTGAAAATAAACATTGGAATAAATCAAACATGTAGGTATTCATTTATTTTTTAAGATTCTTACGCAATAAATATGAAACATACATAAATATGGTTGGCTATAGGACTATTCTTAATTTTGTGTTAAGTGAAAAAATCGCGAAACTAGTCTTAAGTAATCAATGAATAGTCCCTAATGATAATTTAAAAAAAAAACACTTTTTAGGAATGTAACATTATCTCTCTCATTAAATTTGACAACGAACTACAAGAATTTTTGAAATAACGATTTATTGAGTTATGCCAAACATGAGCTTATTGCTTTGGTTAATGGTTACCTTTATAAATGTTCATCGATGTTAATGACTCATATCAAACATAATAATTTATGCATTGTTCCAGTTACAGCAAACAAGCCATTCACCCCGAAAGAGAGACGTTACAAATACTGATACCGATTATGACTATGAACGTCTATTGAATGAGTATTACACGGAAAATTTAAATGAGGACTCATCAAATAAAACCTATCATGTTGATCAATCAGGTATATTAGTAAAGAAAGTTAGAAAGTTTACCTAATATCCCATTCTCGGTCATTCCGTTAAATGGTTTCCAACTTTTATTTTTAAATTAAAATGGTCACCCTCTTTATTTCGCAAGAGCTATATCCGTGATTTATACCTAGCTAGTGCTTATTGCCGTGACCTACTTAACTGTACCATTTCGGCATATTCCATTATGTTCCATTCCATTATCACAATTAGGCGATTAACACATTAGCTACCTACATATCAAATACAACCACAAATAAGGAATTTAGTAGGTAGGTTATAATAAACTCAAATGCAATGGAAACAGAAGGATTTAATTATAGTCTCCAGATTTTAAGCAGGAGTAGCAAGAACTAGCTAGGTTTTTAAGTTTCACAGCAAAATGCAAAAGAGGAAGTTTATTTCTAATTTTTCTTCAAATTCTACTCGAACTGCATGCAATGAAACGATAATTTATTTTCATACCACCTGCTCGTCAATGTCCTATTATATATCACGCAATCTCCACGTAAAGCAAGTCATTGACTCCCAAGAGATAATGTTGTATGAAACTCCCAAGGGATTAAAGTAATTTGAATTTCGAACGTTTAAATTCGTATGAAAACTTCTAATAGATACGTATCTATCACAGAGTTTTTCAATAATTGCAAAAAGAGTTTATTCGAAAATCGAACTGGCCACCTATAGCTAAAGAAAAACTTGATTGAAAAAATTCAAAACAAAAGCCAGTGTTTGGTGCTATTTACATAAAGATAAATAAGTACCTACTACGTTATTTTAAAACTTCCGTGTTTTAACATTCTCAAACGTGTCAAAATGTCATCGAGCGATAGTGATTTGACTCCGGAGCTTATTAAATTAGA